TTACCACAACACCAAAAGGGTTCTGGCTTAGGTACGATAACTTTAGGTCTTAGACAAATTATGCAAAAGTCATTGGCAAACTTCCTACATTCGTGCATCGTATATTTATGAGATATTTTTAACCTCCGTTTGCAGTACGCAGTAAGGACACACCGCGGGAAATCCCGTAAATCTGCTGTACCCGTCTTCGTAAATCCGCGGGTTAAACCCGTATATCTTTGGCATCGATCGCGAGTCCCCCTTACTGCTGCTAACCGAATTTTTAGTCGTCAATAGTGGTAAGTCTCGCAGACATTTCTTATTTTCGATCTAAAAGTGCAGATAAAAAAGACTGGATCTGCATTTTAAGAACGGTCAATCTAAAAACAATTTGACTCTGTAATATAGTAAGTGCGAATACGATCAGTGATTTTGAGAAAATGAAAAGTTTCAGAATTAATTAGGGATTACCTTCAAACACAGCAACACATAAGATAAGAACTCGGAGATTGTTGTCTAGACCATGGAATTTCATTTTCTTGAAGAAAAGGATTTCTGTCCTCGAGAATTTGTCTCGTTCTTAGGGAGTAAAAAGTTTGGCGAAGAAGTCTTCAAAAGTATCAATGAACAGGTGCGACTAAGATATTTATTGCAAGCGTGTCGAGGTTTTTGTTTAGAGCAAACATTGGTGTATTTTATTGATGTGATCAGTCTAATTGACAAGATATTACAAGGGTGGTCACGACCGCATTGTAAACAGAAATTATTGGATCACCTGGAGCCCGCATATACCGCAAGGATGGTAACTAAGAAAACCTGTTTGACGTTGAATCAAAAAGAATCTAAGAGTGACGCAGAACATCCATGAGAGAAGTAACGGGAAAAAAGTAACGGCGCGGAATACACCTCTTTAGCTTTGTATGCAAATCGCCCATTTCAGATCACATGACATTCTCTTGAGAATTGTTCTTTTATATTAAAATATTTACATATGAAAAATTTAACTCCCAAGAGTGGCATCACATGGTCTTACATGTGCACAACAAACAACGAAGGTAAACAGGTCTATTGACATCATCGATCCTTTAAACCAATCACAGCGCGCGAGACCACCACTCCCCAATCAGAATCCATCCCCGCGCTAGCCAAATTAGATGGGCTCTGATCGGTCGAGAGTTAAGCAAATCAGATTAAACGTTACAATATGCATTCCTTAGGGTAAAAATAGTAACGAAGCGTAATTCACATCATTGATCCACTAAACCAATCACAGCGCGCGAGACAACCACCCTCCAATCAGAATCCATCTCCGCGGTAGCCACGATAGATGCGCTCTGATTGGTCGAGAGTTAAGCAAATCAGAATAAACGTTACAATATGAATAATAAAACTACTTGTATACTTTTATCATTCATGGTTAGAAAGAACAAATGTTAGAAATAACCGCCAAGGAAAGAAAACAAACCACAGAAAATTTGCTCTTGTTAAAGGATTCTTTGAATGTAATTAAAAAAATACAAAATTTACGGAGGCATAGCCATTTGATGTTGATACAAAAGGAATCTCAGACGTGCTGCTTATTATACCTCTAAATCACTCAACTACTACTATACTAATAACGTTACCCCTAGTGGGGTGGAGTGGGGCTTAAAACGCTAAGCCATTTGATGGTGATACAAAAGAAATCTCAGACGTGCTGCTTATTATACCCCTAAATCACTCAACTACTACTACACTAATAACGTTACCCCTAGTGGGGTGGAGTGGCATTAGCAACTGGGTTTAAGGAAGAAGCACCATCCTTCCCTCATCCTTCACCAGTCCCCTCCTGCTTGATTTTGAACCAGTCTCCAACTCCTAGCTCCCTTAATGTTCCTAACGCTAATGTATGTTTTAAGCTGCTCTAAATCAGTGGAAGAATCATTAATGGTCAAATATGAATATGTCAAGGTAGGGTTACATGGGGGTTGCACCCTCTTTCTTGTATAGTTGTTTTAACTCCTATGATAATTATGCCACCAGAATAATCTACAAAACGCTAGTGGTATTAAGGTGTCACAAGTGAAATGGTAAATCTAGGAAATCCCATCAAATCAATCCAATGAGCTTGAGGGCAAGTTTGCCAGAGCAGCCAAGAAGAGTGAACAGGCCAAGATAAGCAAATGCACCATAGGAACGCTTGGATGGATCTGGATAAGATAAGAACAGTAGCATATGTTACCAAGGATAGTACTGGACACCCACTTAATATGGGCACTGCCCAGTCAGGCCTAAAAATCGCCACTACTGTGGACACCCACTTAATATGGACACCCCAGTCAAGCCTGAGACTTTCCACTATCATGCACACCCACTTAATATGGACACCCCAGTCAAGCCTGAGACTGTCCACTATCATGGACACCCACTTAATATGGACACCCCAGTCAAGCCTGAGACTCTCCACTATTACGGACACCCACTTAATATGGACACCCCAGTCAAGTCTGAGACTCTCCACTATTATGGACACTCACTTAATGTGGACACCCCGTCAAGTCTGAGACTCCCCACTATTACAGACACCCACTTAATATGGACACCCTAGTCAAGCCTGAGACTCTCCACTGTCATGGACACGCACTGAATATGGACACCCCAGTCAACCTGAGACTCTCCACTATCATGGACACACACTGAATATGGACACCCCAGTCAATCAAGCTTAACTCTTCACTATTATGGGCACTGGCTTAATATGGACCCCCCAGTCGAGTTTATCACTTTCCCCTATTTTGGACACCCACTAACTATGGACACCCTGCTACTCTTGGCACCTGCATTACACTGACAACACACTATTTTGCAGGTATCCATTGAGTGACTATAATAACAGCTAGTTGTTTTCAACTAACCTCCAGTGTAGTATCCATGTGCATAGACGATCCTGCCAATGATCCAAACAATGCCAGCAGCACTGCAAACAACCTGGAAAATTACAGCAATATATATGCTTGTCCTTTTCTCATGTAAGGTTTAATGATAGTGGAATAATATGGAAGCCAATAATAACCGAGTCTTGATGAAAAACTTTTATAAATTCGTTTGTCTATTATGTAGAGCACATGCCAATTCAGCTGGTTAGCTGCAAGGTGTTATTTCTTAATAAATATACTATCTATCCAACAGCAGATCCTCTGCCACCCCTCTACATCAGTTCACAATTTTAGGATATTATGTGTTGACTAAAACTGCTTGGAATGGAGAAACGTGTAAGTGTGCTTAATAGCAGATACACTACAATGAAACTTTTGATTTAGTGGGGATGGTCAAATATTACAGTAAAAGTGTATCAATAGACCCTTTTCGAGTTCCAAATTCCAGCTGCATTTCTTGATTACAGACTCATTCAGGCTAAGCCTCGGAAATACCAACGGTAAAGTAAAGAATGCACAAGTTCAACAATACGAACACTTTGAAACTTAACGGACCTTGACTGAAAACGTGAATATTCTTCACAAAATCGAGGCTTAGCCTGAGCAAATGAGTCTGCAATCAAGGAAGACAGCGGTAATTTGGAACTCAAAAAGGGTCTATTGTATGACACAGAGGGCTCTTATACTTACAGGATGCTCAAGGCCACCAAGGAAAAGCAGCATCAAGAACTGAGGATAGTTTTCCAAGCTGAAGAGGGAAAAAAAAGGAAAAATTACCTACTTTTTTAAAACGTTTATCAAAATTCAAACAGTCAGGAAGGATTTCACATATTGAAAGCTGTATTTTATCAAACTCCATGTACATCCCTAGGCAAGCCTATAGATTAAGAGTGTTGAAAAATATAAAGCTATGAAACAAGTGGTGAGTCACTTCCAACAAACTCTGTCATGTCCTTCATAAGATAACAGTGTTTAGTTTATGGTATTGTAAAACTATCTAGTAGAGTGCATACCATATATTTGTGAAAAACTTTGTAAGGAATCGCACAAATTAGTCAGTTCAGGAGACCTCAGTAGACCGTTGACCTACAAAATCTTGTTAGTTAACTTTTCACTGATATATGGTTTGCACTCTAAATCAATTTGTGATGAATAATTTTGCACATAGACTGTACATACGTGTTTTGATGTGCCCTCTGGATACAATTGAACACAATTTCCTTGTCATCGTACATCTTAGGGTACTAAAGAACATAAGGTATCATTATGACTTTAAAATTTTATTTGAATTTTCAATCTTAGATAGCAAAGTGATGAGTTTTTTTTGTCAAAACTAAGTGAGAATGATAAAAATTCTCCTTTCCTAGTTTTCTTGCCTTTATAATATGATAATCAGATGCTTAGTGGATAACAAATTTATTTATAGCTGTTCATCTTAATTCCCTTTAATTCTATATCCTTGGGAACCCAGAGGTAAATTAATTCTGTTGTTCTTTGTTAGAAAAAAAGGCCCAGAATTTTACTCCTGTATTTCCGATGTGTTAAAGGACACACATATTATTAATTTTAAAGCTAAACAACACACATTAATTTCAGTGCTAAACAGCAGACATTAGTTTCAGTGCTAAGAAACACATTAATTTTGAGTCGTGACACAGCCAAAACGAATAAAATTGAAACTTATTTTGTTAAAATATATCATAAATATCAATGCTAGAATGTCAGAGAAAAGGCTACATAGAAAGCTAAAAAAGGAAAAACTATATTAATGTTCTAATTATTTATTCCACTGGTATATACCTGATATTTAGCGCAACAAAAGTAAAAGCAAATAACAAAGGATTATTAATAAACATAACTGAAAGAGTAAAGTGAAACTTGGAAGAAGGGAAAAATACCTCACTGAATGATAATTCTTACTCTAATATCTACCATAGATTTACTTTATAATTAATTATTTCACAAAAATAGTCTAATTCCATTAACCAAAATGTTAAATATTTAAATTAATTAAAAATAAAATGTGTAGCTCCAGAAATGATCCATCCCCCCACCCCACTGGGGAATATTTTTAAACAACCCCCCAACCCCTGAAATTCCAATTTTCTTCCATACAAACTTTTTTTCCTCTGACCATCCCTCCCATCCCTTACCCCTCAGAAATCCCAAATTTCCATATGTGTGGAAGTGGGCGTGCGTGTGTGTGGGGGGGNGGGGGGGGGGAGGAGTATGGATAATTTCTGGAACAACACAAAGACAGAAAATGAAAAACGTAGTTTCAACTTATGCTGTCTATTAGACTAATACTGTATCTATTTTACGTGATAAATAATATTTACCAATTGAAACTGAAATCACAATTTCTGTTGCCATTTTCAAGATAATAAAATATGTAAGAATTCTGGAAAGATGATGCATGGGTTGTCTGGATGTTACTCATTAGACATGGTGTTTACTTTATGACCTGTGACTTTAAACTGTAGGTGGCCATGGATTACTTGATTATGAATGGGAGGAGAGGATATGTTTTATTTATAATGAATGGTTATATTGTCTGTAAAGAATATGTAACCAGACACTGTCTTTTCACTAGCAAACAGATGCCATAAAAATAAGTATCTCAATATCTTTTACTAAACCAACAAAGGATGTAGAATAAAGTTTATGAGTTTACTCTTATTAGCAAGTGGTTATAATATTAGTATAAAGAATTAAAACCAGCTATTTTTTGGATGAATGAAAAATAAGCCATGTGCAACATGTGTCATTCACACTGGTTGTTTTCCTGGGATGTACGTTTAAACATGTGCTGTGAATAATTTAACAGCCAAGATTTTATCACCTGGGATTTTGCATACTACACAGACAGACAGAGAAGGAAGGCTTCATTTTTATTTAACCTGTTTAAATCTATGTCTTTTCTCCAGGTGTTCCCAATGTTGACACTGGTACACAAGACGGACCCACAAGACAACTACTCAGTCAGTATCTATGAAGTATTTTTGTACTTTTATTATTATTTACATTATTGTTTTATGCAAGGAACAGAAGTTATCATAAAAAGTAATATGACATTCATAGGTTGTTGTTATATATATTAAAAGCACAATGGCTAGGTGACATTATAGTAAAGAAAATTTTTAATTTTAATTAAAACGCATGAACTTCTTAAAAAAGTATTCAAACTCATCAACACAAGTTCCAGTAACTCAGTTCATTAGAGTCTGAGTCTGACTATAAAACATAAGGTCAGAGGTTTGAATCCTGTCTGGTGCTTAGAATGTTTGTTTTTTCCTGAGAAAAATTTGCTTGGTGAAACAATGCAGATGTTTATTTAAAAATAAATAATGTTTAGCACCATTAGATTATAATAATTAAAAGCACTTAATATACCAGATATTAAGAGGATGTTGAAGTGTGTTTTTTAGTCTGCATCCACAGATGATTTATTATGCTTAGTTGCATATTGACGTTATGACTATGAACTATGTAAAAACCTTTAAAATATTCCAGAATATTTTTCTTGTATAGACTGCCTGGTGATTCAATACGTCATTGTCTAAAGACATTATGATTAAAACAGCTAAGGTCACCCTTCTAGAAAAAAAAAAAAACAGGGCAAAAACTATGGGAAATAATATATATCAATAAACTGTGCCTTTTACTTTGATCACCTAGAGGTTGTTTTAGTATTGATAAATATTGAAGTTTTTAGTTTTGTTTTTATTTTCGACCACAGTATGCATGAGAAAAGGGATAGTCGACTCATTTAACTCCATACATAGGTATGACAGGTTGTGGAAATTACAGAGCACTATTAAAGAAGAGTCAGAGAATACATTGAATAGTTCCAGAAAAATCTATATGTAAATCTCTTACATCTATGTATATTGCCAAGAGCAATAGCAGCCGTAAGCAATGACAAACAACCAGGATGGTGATGACAAAGCGTGAGAATGTTTTCCAAATGGTTTTTGGTGCAAAGCCATCATTTTTGATGCAGTTGCTGCCCTTGATCCTGATAGATGTTTTTAATGATACCTTAATACCCGGGGAGAGGGGGTAGGGAAAGTAAAAGGGTTGACAACACATCATTTGAAAAGTATTTGACTCCTAAGGTTATTTCAAGAACATTTAGGAACAGACCATTAGATAATAATTGATGGGGGTTTGGTAAATCCCCAAAAAAATATCGAGCAAGCATTTAAACCTAAAAAAAATATTGTGCAGCCTCTTCTGCTAGAAGAAACATATCTAACTGTATGCAAAAAAATAACGTGCAAGGGTTGAGCCAAAAAAATAAATATCATGCAACCAAAATTCCTGCAACCCCCATCAATTATCTAATGGTTCATCTCTTAGCAAGTTAACAGTCAATATTAAATTTAATTTAAATATTATACTGTTATTGTTAAGACGGACATTTTTTGGAGGCTTTAGTTTTGTTTCACATTGTTTTAATTATTAATTTGCGTTTGCAGGTACAAGCACGCATTAACAAGTAAAGATATTCTTGTCTCTGCAGATCCATCCATTCACATTTAACTGGTATATATTCATGAGAATTGTTCTTTATACAAACAAACATGTTTAGCCATGTGTTAGATAGAATATCGAGCCTCAAAAGCTTCACCAACATAGAGCTCTTGTTGGAGGTCAACAGTGCTGCTTAACTCTCAACATTACAACCATATCAGTGATCACAAAGATTAGAGAGAGCTTGATGAGTATCAAGGGTGCTTCATATTTTAACCAAAAAATTCAGTTTTTTTCTTTTCAAATAATAAAAAGGAGCAGGAAAGTAACTTTAAAATTAATCAAATGGTGCATGTGTAAACAGGAAAAATGACAGAAGTGGATTTACTTGAATCGGAAGACCGGATTCCCCAGAACTTTGAATGACACATACCATTTTTTTGCTTTACAACTGGAATTTCTGGGGTTTTTCCCCCAAGAGGTAAATAGTAAGCACAAAGGAACTAGTTTCCTTCTACGAAAGAAAAACACAAACCCACTCTAAGAATGAAGTTGTTTATGAAAGGTAGGTAGGATGCTTTTAGACCTGCATATTTCTATGCACCCCCAGGGTTAATTACATGTATTTATAGTTTTGAGCTAATTATTTTTACTTTTGAAAGTATGTAAAATTGAGATTTAGATTTATACTTAAGCGTGAAACTCTTTAAATTTAGAGGAAATGCTTTCAAGTCCTTTAGTTTTGTGATCATTTAGTAATTCATTTAAAAACACTTTGGGGTCTTTACTGTACTCCATCTAAATATTTTCCTCTATTATGCTTCATATGACACAGTATGAAATAATGTAAAGAAAAACAATTGATTTTACTCCCCAAATATTTAAAAAATACGATTTAAAATGTAGAGCTTATAGAGTTTTTGAGTAATATATAGTAATGTCTAATATGAAGTTAATGTGCCAAGTAGTGATATTCTATTATTTCACATGATTGTTATCAACAAGTTAAGCATGACTAGAGAGTGATAAAAGTTCATCAAAACAAGATGAATAATAAATTTAAGAGAGCAATACCCTTCGAGCAGAGTCTTTTTTACCTTCCCCCGAGAGAGAGAAAGGAAAGAAGACTGTCTTCTTTCCTTTCTCTCTCTCGGAGGAAGGTAAAGGAGACTCTGCTCGCAGGGTAAAAGAGCAAGTTACTTCTGCCATTTCGAAGGAAAACAACCTTTGAACTAGGCTGGAGACTGAGCCTACCTTTGAACTGCAATAGGTACACAATTAACTAATAAACAATCAATAATGCTTAATTACTAAAACGAAAGATTAATGCCCAAAACAACAGTAGGCAGTTACAAACATTTTTACACAGTGTTAAGTTTTCTTCTTAATAACTTGTGAAATCAAATGTTTAACAACAGCAAAAACATTAAAATATACATTCAATGCAATAGCCAATATTTTTAGCCTTTTTAAGTCTAGACATGCACTATATATTCAAATACTTTTGCATGTAAACATGAAAAGTGTATAAGCTAGATTTTTTCACAAATGAAAACCTTCAAGGTGAGGGGTATTCACATGAAATAAATTATTTAATATGTAGCTTTGTATAAGTAAATTGGTTCACACTTTGTTGGTGAGATGAGAAACAACAGCCATCTAAGCAACATTTTTATGCTATAAAGTATAACAATAAATAAGGAATAAGTATGTATTATCATTATTAGTATGGTTATCATCATTAATTTTATCCACACTTTTTCCTACTACAAGTAAAGTTTTTAGTCATAGCAAAAATTAAATACAAAAACAAAACTACACTATGTAGGATAATGCCTTTGAACGAATAGTCGACATAATACATAGTACTTGACCAAAATTCCATTCTTTTCTTTTCTTTTACTCACACTGTCATTAATCATATGACTCCGTTTCACAGGGCTAGTAAAATCACTCTAAGAAGGATAAAGCCATAGTAATTTAATTGGTTTTCTGAAAGCATTTTGATGAATTTAAAGAAATCATAGAGAGCAAAAAAGAAAAAGACACATGTTACTACTTAAGTTTTAGAATAAGAACAAGATATAACTCAATACTGTAGTAGTTACTGTTCTTAAGTGCACACAGTCACAAGCATAGATTATCACTCTTATTTCAAATGCTCAGCCATTTCGAAGTATATTTAGAGATAATAATGACTTTTGCAAATAGTTAAAAAATGTAAAATAATTACAGCAATCTGAACTTAAAGTAATGCCCTTATATGGTAATCTTTATTAGCTCTGCATTTAAATTATATATTTAAAATTTGTATAAATGAAGATATATAAATTAAACTTATGCTTTAAAATAAAAAGTTTTCCCTGATCAGCTTTTTTCTCATCACTACGTCGTAGTATTACACAGTAACTGAAAAAATGTTATACCTATATTTAGCAAGATCCCTAGGGAAAACACGTCATTTATTGATTCCTACTATACAAACGTTAGTAAAAATAAAGGCAAAGAGATGTCAAAAAAACCCTGGAATGGAGGATTACTGTGCAGTACTCTGATTGGCTATTATACAGTGTTAAGTTTTCTGATATAAAAGATGTGTTGATTAGGGGACGTTCAATACAAAGCTTGGTTACAGAACATTGCATTGAGGCGTTTTATGAATAATTTATACAGACATAGGCTTGTGTGTCAAAAGAAAATTCTAAAAATCACACAAATATTTAATGAACACTGCTGACTCATCATAAAAGTTAATTCATAATTGCACATCTTTCAAGTCAAAACCACAAATAAACACATATATTATTAGTAATGTGGAAAATACATGGTGAAGGGTGACTAATTTACATGGAATGCACGTGGGAAGAACAAAATACTCTCTGAAACAAAAGAAAAAAATCCGCTTCATTGAATAGTGTTGCGCAAGCCTCTTGCAAGAGTGAGCTCTTTGTCATCGCTTTTAAACCCCCAAAACACAGAAAAATGCCTCTAAATCATGCATTTACCTGCACTTTAAACTTTTTTCTTGCTTTCCCGACATTCACAGCTAAATAAGTAAGCATAAAAGCCGAAGAAATGCCGGTAAGAATGACATAGCCGTATTCTTTTGGAAGAGCTATGGTCGCCATTTTGAGCGTATATAATTATGCATGATTCAAGTTTCAAAGGGCAACCTTTCACGTGATCACTTGCTTCCCATTGGTTAATATTTAAGAAATACTTTTGAGTTTGTCCAATCAGGGTTTAGTATGACGTCATTTTTTACTGTGTATTTGAATGCTGGCGGTTTCCAACGCCTTCCTCACAACTACCTTGCGCTTTCGAGAGTGGAGATATAATTTTGTACTACGTACTGAATCCAATTTATATTTACAACATGAAGACCATTTTCGCAGTCTGCCTTTTGGCTCTTATTGTCGCAGCAGTTCAAGCAACAAGCAATTCAAGCAATGTCTCTACCATTGCTCCTCCTATGATGGGAAACACAACGACTCCAATGCCCATGACAACTCAGGGATCTACCGCCGAGCCCGCTACCACTACAGCAGCATCAAGCATCTGTTTACCCGCCGTTTTCACTCTCCTCGCTTCTTTCTTGTATACTCAGATGTTCTAAACTGGTTAGTTTATCTGGACTTGTAGAACAATGTTACGTTTGTGAAAACTTTCCCCGCAACTATCTAAAGCTTATGAATAGTACCTTTTATTACACCGAGTTTGCCGCCACCTGCTGAAGAAGATATTTTGTCAACGAATGTTGAAACTACTTCCTCACACACAGAAACTGTATTTTCCTTCTATAACCACGACTTCTGGAAAAACGTTTGATAAAACTTTTGTGTAACTTTGAGAAATAGACCGATGGATGGATTTGGAGTAAGAGTATGAAAAATTTTTGCAATACTAGATATTTCCTGAATCAAGCCAAGGTGCGAAGGCGTTCTTCTTGTGCGCCGTTCTAATGCTACATTCAACTGTAAGAACCTGCGTTAGACTTTCATTATTCTTGTGCTGTAAGCGTTTGCTGTAAATCTCACCAAATATTTACTCTTAATGTTGATAATAGAATGTCACAATTAGTTCCAAGTAGAATGTAGAATTGCAATTTTCTGTTTAAATACTTTTCGTGTAAATTAAAGGCATTTTTGATAAATACAAGTCTCTTCTTTTCTAATTTTATGTTATTTTCTTACTCTTAAAGCAATCTCTTTTTACATGTAATGATTTTGCTTTCTTTTAGATTCCTTTGAAACTGAAATTCAGGGCTTGCCGTTTCAGGGCGTTGTCTAGGGAAAGGTGTTCTACCTAAAATTTATCATTATTCCTTGATTTTCAATAATAATTTCCATAGATTCTTGCCGCAAAAGAAGTACCCATGTTAACTTCATTTATTTACTCATGTCTTATTTTTATTTGAGATCAAATAAAGAAAAACTGTCTTGGAGAATGGCACGTGTTTGAATATACTTTGCGCTTACTTGGCATTCGAACCTGACCAATTACTGTAAAACATCGCGTTCGAAAATTAATACTAATCCAGTGCTGAAACGTAGCAATTTTTGAGTAGATTTAGTATTTTAGTCAAAAATTTGCTTTCACAATCTTGTAGTTTTCGTGGAACAAAGAACCTGAAAGAAGGACATTGGTGAGGTTTACGAATGAATACGACTGTCCGGCGCTTTTAAAACTGCAAGAAACGCATATTCAGCTCTCGACCCTCTTGATGACCCCATGTACTGTATACAGTTTATCGTTGTCCTCAAGTTCAAGTCATTCAGTGAATAAGCGGTAGAATATTACAAGCTCCATACTGAAGGGCGCCAAGCATAGCTAACATTTCTTGGTTCATCGATTTCGCTTCTTTGTTCTTCCGAAGACTATATTTCTACCGCTTCATTTTGAATATTTAGGAATTCTACTCATTTCAGTTTCGATTTCTGTCTTTATCTACGAGTATTTATTTCAGTAAATAATGCTGTAGAGAAATATGTTGAATTGTATGAATTATTTCCGACGGAACGTGCTATGCGGAATATACGACGTGCTAGCCGATGCAGAAATCAAATATCAACGACTACATTTCCTGCTATACACTAATCATATAAATCACTGTACTTGTTCAAACTCGAATACTTTTTTTTTTCAACTATCCAAAATTCATGATTCGGGGATTTTTCGATGGTAAAACGTAGGCCCAAAATTCACTGACATAGATTATGCGTGTATAAAGCGGAATCTACAAGTTATGCAAATACTAACTTAGTGGGCGCCGCGACGGTCGAACTGCTAGTAACCGCAGGAATCGACATTTGTTTTCCTTTTCAAATCAGGTTTCGATATAAACAATTTCGAAAGAGTTTTTTTAATGAAATTTTAAATGTGGATTTCAATGGAAAGCAACAAGTATATACGGGGTGCAAATATATAATGTGTTGTTTTTAGCTAATTTCATTAGTATTCAACGTGGCCTCGAGTAAGTATGAATTTAAGTTTGCATTTTCAAGCAGGGTTCTTCACACCGCTCAACGGAAAAAGAGGAATAAGGAAATTGAGATATATAGGTGGAGTATTTAGCATTTTTCATGGCAGTAGAATTGAGTTATTAGAACATAGTTACTTCAGAACATAGTTCATGTCTAATCGTCGTGACGTTGCTAAGAATAATTTCATACTCGAGCAATATAACTGTCATCGCCTCAACATTTTAGTAGCCAGTTCAGTCAAACTACGAAATCTATTAAATCATTTCTGGGGAATCCTTGAAGCTTGTTCAATAACAGAGTATATTTACATGATTCTCACAAACTGACGCAGTACGTAAATGTCATATTTCTCCTTAGATTCTTTTGGTTAATTCGCGTCACGCTCCAACCAATAAAAGGCTTCTACACTAAACTCCCTAAATCTCGAGGACTTGATAGTATAGCTGTCTGTATTCGGCTTTAGGCGTTTATTTATGCTTGATATGCGGTTTTTTACCGTATCATTTTGGAGCTTATTTATTTAGTCAGTTAAAAAATCCACCAGGGATAGATACGCATTAGGGAACGCGTTGAGTGCCAAGAAAGGCCGGTCCCCGGTCTCTTACTTTACTCTAAACAAATTTTTTTCATCTGCAACAAATAAAAAACCTCTTTTTAACCAAAACCTGAAATATTGAATAATTCTTGGTAATATTCACTGATTACTGTTACCATAGGGATCTTGTTTGATGTTTAGCGGTGCTTTTATAACTAGGCACTTCTACGGTTATCCATCAAGTACCGATTCTTTTTAGGAATCTCTCGATAGAGCAAGCTCAATTTTGCTAGATATATTTCGTTAAACGTGCTTCCCTTTACATCTTAAGATATTTTCCCGCAGTTTATGACAAAAGGAGAAAGAACGCTGCCACTTACTAACGCAACAAGCCAAACGATGCAAAACGAACTACGAAGTCGTTTTGAGTACGTGACGTCAACGAAACAAACCACGAAAAATTATCAAAATGTAAATTCTAGACTCTTCGAATAAATATTATTGAAAATGGTTCCGGAGTTTACAAGCTATGCTCCGCTCAGTTTTAATGCTCAACAGCGCCAACGTCTGAGATAGGTTGAGTAAGCAATGTTAAACGAAGATTTATGGCATGTTGGTGTGATGAGAAACTCGACAAAATGAAGGAATAAATGAAAATGAAAGTACGAATACGTAGATTAATAAATAATCATAAATAGATTTAAATAGGAAGCAAAAATTGAACACAGCAGTAGCTTTTCAGTGTACTCATTCTTTTCTTTTTTTTAAGCAGGAATAATTAAATTTTTAAATTTATCTTAATGATACATATTTAAATTTATTTAAAATTTTCCGTGACTATATTTTTATATTTTAAAAACAAAAGAACTCATTACTGTTGAGAATACTTAAATGCCATTTCTAAAAGAAAAATTTAACATTTTACTAGTTCACGGATATAATTCAATAATCCAAGACCCATATATCTACCCGCAATGACTAAACCTGAAAATGCTTGCTGCAAAAAAACTATAAAATTTCGCTAGTTGTTAGCGCTACAAAGACGCAAGTGACCTCAGGGAAAAAAAGTAATTTCAAGATATATTGAACTGAAAACCATTAAAACGCAAGAAAATTCTAGAAGTATTGCTAATGAAAACGAATCGTTTATACTTCACCTAGTCGATCAATATATACCCAAATTTTCATGATTATTTCTGATAAGTTAAAAGGATTTGAAATGGTTCTTGAATTCAGACTCGTTCCCAGTCGTCACTTACGTTTTCACTTTTAATTAACGCGCGCCAAGGCACTAAATCCCTCCCTGATCCTTCCCATCAACCACAACGTGAATAAATAAGAGCATAGCAATCACTACTAAATCATGCATGCCCATAACACGTCATTTTACTCATTCATCCACAATCCCGAACTCTTTTTTTTTTCTATTCTAATTGAACTGAAATGGGAAACTTCTATTTTTCTTAACTTAGTTTGACATTTTTAATCTACTGAATTGTGGAATTAATTCTTTTTGGTTTCTTGAGAAAATAATAAAGAAATATGTCTTTGATTTTGTCTTCCCTTTTCAAATGAGAACAATTGGATGGAAGAGACTTCCCATTAATATTTTGTTTAATTTAAGACAATTGTTAATGTTTATTCAATGGTTCATAGATTTTTACCCAAATTTAAGTCTTGATCATGGAAGGAAATACTAATGATAAATAAGAAGCAGCCCATGATTAGTGATGTATCCATGTATCCAGTATCCATGATGTAGTTTCTAAAATGTGCTATCCTATTACTAACTGGTAAGGTAAATTATTATTTATAGTTATTCGAAATAGCAACATTTAACGCGGCTACTGAATGAGATTCAGTTTTTCAATCACCCATTTCCTAGTACTTTCAATCTAAAATCTAACACAAAAAATTAATAATAATAATAAAATAATAATAAGTAAAAAAATAAAAATTACTCTGAGCTAATGCGTCTCTTCGCCTGAATTTTCACTAGGGCTTATATATTCTGTACTTATGAGCACAGACAGCTTATTCTGGCATCGTACAGCCCTATCTAGACTGACTATACAGGATGAGCAAATTACTAATAGTGTCTATGAGACTTTTGAGAGACATAAGATGAGACAATAAGGACTTGAAGTCCTTCCATCTGCCATAGGGTGTGGTCAATGGGTTTCTTTGACGTCCAAAGAAATAGGTTGGCTGGCAGGCAAATTTGAGAGATATTTCAATAATTGTCTTTAGATGTAAGATTCTCTTGGCTAAAATCAACGCTCGCCTGAGAGGCCTATGTCGAGTCATCTTTACCTGGCCAAGTATAGTAAGATCTGATTGGTCAACTGGTATCCCAAGAGTCAGCCAGCCAAACTAGTATCACCGATTCGCGCCTTCCCAGCGGTTTCCCACTGCGGCGACTAGGATACGGGTTGTTTCCATGGAGACCAGCCCCGATGTTGCGATAGCCTCCTCCGAAGCTCATGACAAGTGCATTGTGGGTATTTGAATGCACGCCCACCGGACTGCTGACCAGCGGTAATAGATAGCTTAGTGTTTCCTCGTGGCAACGAATGACGGAGTAGACTGTGAGTGAGAGGTTGTCACAAACCAAGATGCAGCCCCAGTTAGTGCCAATGTACAGCTCTTTATCGACGGCTAGTAACGAGTTGACCTGGGCACGAACAGCTGCAACAAACAAGGAAAGAAATGAAAGAGATAAGATGAAAAACGTTCTATAGATGTGTTTTTCCTCCCTCAGGAAAACTATGGCTATAACAGGATTTCAATTCGATCGGTGAGAGTAGCCCTGCTTTGAATTAGATCAGCCCAGACCGGGTTGCTTCAGGGTTCGATAAAATTATAAGGTTTCACAGTATCGGAAATTGAATGTCGAGTTTTGCGCACGGAGCAATAACGGAGAAACCGCAGTATTCTCAAGAAAATAAGCCGGAAAAAAGTTTAGACCAGGAAATCAGAATGAAAGAAGCATGGGATAAAAAGATTATGTGATGTGCGCATTCCATCATATACAAACCGCTCGATGCTATCGCTGGCTCACAGGAAAAGGTTTCAACATGGACGCTGCCAAAAACGAGATCCTCATGTGGAATTAAAAGTAATATTTTCATGTATATCTATCTTAACATCATAAAAAAAAAAAAAAAAGAGAAAAGAAAAGAAAAGAAAAGAAGTATTTATTTTCCAAGATTTCAATAAAATTTATGAAAAGGAATTTGATATTTTCTTTGATAAGATATTTCCGAGATAACACTTTTGCATGCAGTCGGACGCCATCTTGTTCAAAAGTTGACTATAATTTAGAACGAGTTATCGTAGACCCAAATCGAACATAAATCCCTTCGTCCAAAACTGAATTACAACATCTGGTCGTTACCATGACTACTGGTTTGTGTTTAGGACTCTTTACTAATTACAAACACAACAACAGCGGGTAGATAATCAACATTAAGCCAGCTATTGTCTCTATGTCTAAAGAAACGATGCCAAAGGATTTCCTGATGTGATGAACTTTCTTGTGATGAGTTAATGAATAGCCATTTGTATTTACACATCATTAGTAATATACTAAAAAAGATAACTTGTCATCGCTAATCAACACCGCAAACTACAGCATTCGCAGCTCAACGGAGTCAAACTGGAAGTAATGTGAAGGCGCCTCTGGCACTGAGTCCATGAATGATCCCGAAGCTAAGCAGTTTAAATTAGTTAGGGTTTGAGAGTATTGTTATAGTTGTGTTTGTTATTGCTGACCAAAACAAAAGCGAGCAACGAATTATTGTTAACGTCTGTAAACGATTTCAGATTGTTGAGAATGAAATAAATAAGACTACTTCCATACTGATTCGTTTTCGAAACGCTCCGTTTTCGTCTTATCGAAATGTCATCGCGCGATACTCTGCCGGCAGAGTTTCCCTTAGGGGAAGATTAAAGGCAGACCCATCGTGTCATCGCGTCCACACACGATAGACCTCGGTTTTTAGATGTCACCACTCTGGAAAGCGTTTTTAAGTATGCGTTTTCGGTGAAAATGCTTTAATAGGCAGATTAAGATTCCCGTTTTTCCTTCCCGCAAACAGCAAACGTGACCACGTTTTCATCGTTTCCCTACATTTCATTTTACCTTTTACAAACCTTTGCGACAAAGACACATATTCTTATTTTTATCTACTACTTGTAGATCACTGCGATTCCTTTTCACTAATTTTAAAGAATTTTTTAATGGTCAACTGACGTTTCACGTTTGCCGTAAACGAGAAGCTTAACCTCTCTAATGTTTTAGTCTGGACGCAAGGCCAAAACGCATCGAAAAGGTTTTCTAGAGCGCTTTTCGTGTTAGTTTGTTTGGCAATTAATAACCAATGTCAACAATTTTGACGACATATTAACCTACTGCCATTCGTTGTTGCATTTCATTCTTATTGCACTCTAGGTCTACACAATATTGAATCCACTATAATGACATATATTGATGACATGTCGAGGGTAAGTACTTGGAAAAACTGTTGAAGATTGCAAATTGCTATGGAAACGTCAAAATAAAGTTCATAATTACTGTCACTTTTCTTTTGAGTCAAACAAGTGGACCGGATTTACGAAGATGCCAAATTAATGTACTGTATTCAAAATTGGATTAATTTTCATTTCTCAGGTGCCTTACTATTTCTATAGATTTTTTTTCTTTTTTCTTTTGAAGAGAGGGCGAGGGTTTTGCAGCTAAAATCCGTGTCACACACGAAGAAAAGTAAATAACCCTACCCCCCACGGGGATCATTTGACGCTCACCTCGCAACAGCCAAAACAATCATCAACAGCAGAAAGAATCAAAAAAGAAGCTCAAAAATATCCAAATAAACAGAGCAACAGGAACCACGTCAGGAATTCTTTGAACATTGTCAGGTTTTCAAAATGAAGAAAAAACTTTTATTAAATAAAGGATTCTTTGTGAAAATATCTTGGTTGAAGCCTTCATTAAACATCTTTGACAAGAAGGGATATTGTGCCCTGTTTTGCAGGAAGCCTTCGATTTTATTTATTTTTGCTGGACGTCAAACACATTTACCACGGTTTCTATATAAACTTCTTTGTTCTAACGCCTATTCAGTTTTCTTGCTTAAAAAAACCCGAAGATATCGCGGTAAAAACCGGTTTGAAGCGAAAAAGGTAGAAACAACAAGGACAAACAAATCATGTTGGAAACAAGTAAAAAAATGACGCAACAGGAAAGACAGGTTACACAACACGATAAAAACAGGAAAAAAAACTCTATGGAAACCAGACATGTTCTCGAGATTTTACCAGTTTAGTATTAAAGTATAAATTGTAATATCCAAAAAAGAAAATTGAAATAGATATTTCAATAGTGGTTTAGTGATTTTGTGGTATCAAGACAGCCAAAATACTATATAAAAAGATTCCAAACCTAGACTAGAATATTTGTAACTGAGTGTTTGGCAAAGGAAAACAAAATATCTGAAGTTCTACATATTATTATTGAGCGGAAAACCCATAGCAACAATGATAAAAGATGCTTTGTTTCGTAACAACCAACATGGCCGCCATGGATCACACTTTTATCGAGCCGGAAAATAATTATCAACCACAGGTTATTTTTGAAAACAAAGGATTGGACGTTGATTAACCACCAAACGGGCCTAATTTCCGTTAATTTCACCTCCTTATGGCGAAAAAAAAGTAAATAGACGTGGGAAAATTTAGTAAGTTTACATCTGCGCGTCTGCTGCATGCTAACATCCTATACACCTAAAGGTTGTCATCGCCAAAGGCGATAGGCATTAGGCGAGAAGCGATATAGAAGTTAAGTCATTCCAAGATCCAAGAATAGCTGGAACGACTTGTGTTTCTGCTTCTTTTTATTCTCGTCCAGAACATGGACCTTAGTGTTGAGACTGATTCAATGTTCTTTGTATTCAACAAAACCATTACGGACTCGGAATGACCTATCGCCTATCATCTTTAACGATGACACGTCCATTGAAATAAGGGTATAGAAAACTTGTTAATGTTAATTCATATAAAGAATTTCTGGAACTAAGTAACAAATTAAAGCTAAGGAAATCGAAAAAAAATTCTACTAGGTTACTAGATAGGGCCAATATCGAATATAGGTTTACCAATACTGAAGCCTAAATCATAAATTAAAACATCAAACGAGATCAAAGTTATATAATCCTGTAGTACATGGAAATTTAGACAGTGCGCAGAAATGAAAACACAACGAAAACACAGAAAGTGTCTAGTTTTGCGAAGGGAAGAAATCCGGTGAAACACAGAGACGTATTGGTTGAATATTTCTTGTCTGTGACTACGCATCTCATTGCAAGGTCTTGCGCTAAGGTTCTTCACAGTAATCAAGTTTTTCACTCAAATAAATAATTCACAGTTTAGAGGTGGTGATAAGTGCGCAGATAAAACATTTACGTGCAGGTATTTTTTTCACGTCCCACAAATTTGACTACGCATCTCATTGCAAGGTCTTGCGCTAAGGTTCTTCACAGTAATCAAGTTTCTCACCCAAATAAATAATTCACAACTTAGAGGTGGTGATAGGTGCGCAGATAAAACATTTACGTGCAGGTATTTTTACACGTCCCACAAATTTGACCACGCATCTCATTGCAAGGTCTTGCGCTAAGGTTCTTGACAGTAATCAAGTTTCTCACTCAAATAAATAATTCACAGTTTAGGGGTGGTGATAAGTGCGCAGATAAAACATTTAAGTGCAGGTATTTTTACACAACCCACAAATTTTGATTAATTATAATAAATATATCGGCCCTAATAAGCGCGGCACAAAGAGACCTATGTTTCCAAAAAATTAAAAATTACCATGAGATTCGGCCAAAGGTTTTTTTTTTTTCAACGAGATTTGGAAATTGAACACCTTGAATAAGGTTAGAAATGCGTAGCTTTATTAAACCTCCATATAGACCAAATTCAAAACTCGCACCGATGTGAGGCTTAAGTTGTGAACAAAGGGATCTGGCGTGACTCAAAGTAATCTGGCGTGATTCAAAAGTCACGAATCACGCCAGATTCCTTTGTTCACAACTTAAGCCTCACATCGGTGCGAGTTTTGAATAAATGAATTTTTAACTCTGTCGGTTATTCCATAGACTTTTTTATTGTGTGTAAAAAAAATTCTATGTTTTTAAAAATATTAGCTACATGAAAGGCGCACGTTTCATCGTCTTTGCTACTCAGTAATTGATTTTCTTTATTTTCATTGGTCGGCCTTTGTCTCCTGGTCTACTATGATTAGCCAATCAAACACCTTCATCAATATCGGTTTATCTCACGTACATGCAGAGTCAAGTGAAAAAAAAAAAAAAAAAACTATATAAGACTTGATGCTCTTAAAGAGTGCATTCGGGCTTCTAAATGGCTTGTTGCTAGGTTTGCTTTGGCATGTGCTGCGAGCCTTCGCTATGATGAACTCCGTGACAAAACTCCGCGGCCCTAGCACTAATTGGCGATTTGCGACGGCTAAAAGAAAAACATGTTTCTTCATACTCTAGCATTCCCCATGCAGGAATCCATGTGCCTCGTATACCGAGGGGAAACTGGGCAGAGAAAATGGCGGGAAAATAAAGTGAGGTAGGGGTCAACCTTTGTTTTAGGTTTATCAGCTCAAGCCATGCAGACACACTGGTAGATGTTGAACAGTAGAAAGTTTGAACTTACCGCTGAGCTGTCCTTGACGAATACAACCTGTTCGTTGCAAGCTACCTTTTCCTGACTTTGGAACTAAAAAATGAAAGATAAAAAAATAATCATAAATACGATATATAACATAAGTTAAATTCAAGGTTAGCTTCATACAGTTTCCTACCTTCAAATTTAGGTTTATATGACGCGCAGTCAACACTTCTAACCGTCCTCTTCTCTTGCGCATCCCATCTGAAGACACGAGTCCCAGGATAGAGCGCAACCCATACAGACTTAGCGAGTGGATCGTCGTTATTTATCGCAGATTTAAAGGTTCTACACGTCACGAGATGCGAGACACTCTGCTCCTTTAGTATCGTTACTTCAGAATCTGAATCTTCCGCTGGCATTGTAGAGATCTTTTGGAGTTCTTCACCGTCGAGTACAGTGATCTCCCCTTTCTCCTGCCCGCACCATACCTCGCATATATAGTCTTCTGTCGGCTCAGGACTTACACGAGTTGTGTCCTCCGCACTCGTAGGGTCGGTTATCCGAGGGTACATAACCGGTACCGATGCAATACAATGAATGGGGTTTCCATTCCCCGGGTACCCCCGGCTTGGCAATAGTTCTTGCTTCGGGCTGTGGGATGGTGAATCACCGTAGTAGTAATGATTACATATGTTGTCATCGTACGCGAGTATTGAACCATCTGCGAGAGATACTAACACCCAGTTGCAGCGAGGAATGTGCGCCATGCTTAGGATGTACTTGGCACGTTTGATCACACCCTTGCAGAGCTCGCGGTATGTTATACCACAGTACACGTGTAGGGTTCCCGATTCTGTACCCAGCCATACTGTACTACCAACACTACAGGCCACGCGAATACATGACTTACCAACTGTCAGTTCCTTCAGGGGAAAAAATATCCTTTCTATGAAATTTGCAGTTATAAGGACACTGTTATAGAAAGGTCTATAGAATTTATTCATCTTGGTGCAATGTTATCCTACAGACCCCTTGCATGTGGCGTCAAAGCAGCTCAATTTGGAGGGGAAAAAGCAAAAGAATCTCAATCTCAAGAGAATTGGAAACCTATTGTTTTGTCCTCCAAATTGACCTGCATTCTGACGTGCTGCAAGGGTATATTACACATTATGTGTCATTCCCTGGGGTGTCATTTCTCTGTTTAACAGTTGTACATGAGAAAACCCATGAATATGGATACAACTCAAACAAATAATCTTACTCTCAAGACAGAATAACATGTTCAACCGTGCGCATTTGTTACTGCAACCAAACAGTAAAAATTCCTTACCTCTTTATGGCTAAATCGTCCACCACTGTATTTAACAACATTAATCTTTCCCGTTCCTGTCCCAGCATTCAGTTCGCTCCTACACAGCCAGACTTCATTGCCAACACTTGGTCTGCCATCCGCGCCACACCCTGATGTAACCCGTGAGCCCGCGGTGACAGCACAGCTGATGTTCAGCTGCTTGTCGAATGTAAGCACGTCTGTCAGGCGCGCGAATTCTGGTAAAGAAGCAAATGCGTAGACCTGGGCCGAGGTGGGGCGTTTATCGGAGTCTTGTTCCCAGCACCACGCCATGAGGTCCATAGCGAATACAGGTCCCTTGCGGTCCTATGTGAGAAAGGGACTTCAATAAGTTCTATAGTAAGGACCAGGACCAGCAGGTCCTTGAAAGACTCAGCTACACGACTCAATCCTAATTCTACCCTCAATCCCTATCATACCTTTGGTGTCAGAGGTGGTCGTTGTCCTTCTACGATCATCTGTTTGACCTGGGCCGGACTGAAGTCACAGAAGGGTTGATGAAGAGTAAGTAGCTCGTAGATGTACATACCAAAAGAGAACGTATCAACCTGCAGGAATAATCGTAATTACTACGAGCGTGAATTGCCCGGTTGCCCGGTTGCCCGGTAATAAAAGGGGAGCAATAGTCCCCTTCACAGTTCCTTGCGCTATCTTGAAAGGTAGCCGTGCCTTTGCATCTAAGCAAGACGAACAGTGAAATTAAAATGTTAGAGAGATGTGAATAATTGTCCAAGGCGTTAAAAAAGTCTCTATCATTTCAAGCTCACAGTTTGTCTCGCTTGGATGTAAAGGCACGGCTACCTTTCAAGATGGCGCAGGGAACTGTGAAGGGGACCATAATACATTCCTCTCCCTTCGCACTCCATACCTAATGAGAAACGTACAACTAAGCCTGTGTATGCACTGTTTATGTTTGGGTTGCAACAGCGCGAACAAGGCGTTGGTGGCGGGAAAATAGCCACGTGATCTGTTAGCGCATTTATCTTTTAATGATATGGGCGTGTAACATTGGCTGCAATGGTTTGTCTCAACACTTGATTGGAAAAGCAGTGTACTTCTGTGTCTGTGATTGGTTCAGAGAATGTTGCTAGTTTTGTACCGTGACCGTGTCGTGAATCGTGCAAAAAGATTTTCCTGAATACTACGAGGTATTGATACATATATGAAGATATATGACGTACCTTGTCTGTATAGCACTCCTTCCCAACGTACTTTTCAATTTCCGGGGCCATAAACCCTGGGGTGCCCCCAAGCCCCTTCATTCCAGCTAAAGCCGCTGTACGGCTAATACCGTAGTCAGCCAGCTTGATGAAAACCTCGTGCGTTCCCTGGTCTGCGTGGGGCTGGGGGAAAGTCCAGACTAGAATGTTCTCTGACTTGAGATCTCGGTAAATGATGTGATGCTTGTGGAGATACTTTAAGGCCGAGGAGCACTGGGAAGAGAAAAAACTGAAGACCTTAAAAATTGTAAGGGCCTGGCTAAACGAGGAAACATGTTTCCTCGATGTTTCCCAGTTTAGCCACATGCGAAACATTGCTGCGTGCAACATATTTTGCTTCCAAGACGCAAAAAATGTTTTTGCTGTGCGGCAGAAACATTTCATGTTTCCAAGACGCATGGAAACATTGTTTCCCGATGTTTCCTGACAGTTTTGCCATCTTAGGAAACACACTTAGGGAAACATGTTTCTGGAAACATGTTTCCTCGTTTAGCCAGGGCCTAAGACCAAGCAAATGACATCGTTTCAAAAGCAGTACAGTTCGTGAGGCAAAATGCATTATCCCGCCATTAAATAAATAACTTTCAAAATTCCTACAATTCTGTAGCGGTTTGAAGTATAACTTATGCCAACTAGAAAGCTCTCTGGCGATCCCTCGGGCTAACATTGTCGCAACACACGTGATTCACACGTTAGTCTCTTACATTTTAAAACTTGATGCCACAGGTATCCCGAGAAATTACTAATTTACCTGAACGATGCATTTTTGAATGACGTAAGGGTTCAGTCGAGCGCCTGCTCTTTTGTAATTGGCTAAAACCCGATCCAGTGCCCCGAGAGGCGCGAACTCGATGACCATGCACAAGGGGCTGAGGCAAAAACCAGTTAGAGACACGATGTTCGGGTGTCGCAGTGGAAGCAAGATGGAAATCTCTTGACGCACAGTCCTGTTGGGAAAAAATGACAGGAAAAAAATGATGAGAAGGATAATTAGACTATCCAAAGTTTTCTTTCCACCAGACTTGCTAATATTGTAACGCATGCCAATAGTCCTTTTCACAGTTCCCAGCGCAATCTTGCAGAAAGGTAGCCGTGCCTTTGCATCGAGCTTGCAATTATAGAGACATGCGAATAATAAGCCTTTTCATAGTTTAAGAATCGATTCCACTGCGCATGCGATTTTATCCCGAATTTCTCACATTCTTTTGTCTAAACCTTCTTTTGTTCTTAATTAAACAAAAGAAGGTGAGAAATTCGGGATAAAATCGCATGCGCAGTGGAATCGATTCTTAAACTATGAAAAGGCTTATTGTCCAAGGTGGTAAAAAAAAGGTCTCTATCATTGCAAGCTCACCGTTCGTCTCGCTTTGATGCAAAGGCACAGCTACCTTTCAAGATGGCGCCGGGAACTGTGGAAGGGACTATTGTTCTCGACAGAAATGAATGGAAAAATGGGTACTAATCGGTCGATCGGAGACTAGTTAGACAGGAATGAGTTACGATATGGCAAATATCAAAGCACTATTAATTTATATTGAAGTATCTTTGACAGGAAAAAGCAGCTTTTTAAATGACATGATGCCTTGTGGTCTGGCTTGGATACAAACAACACCGAATAAGGCATGATGAACAAAAGATGTTTGTAGCGAGACCACAGTTCAGTTAAAGGTCATGTTCGCTATCTTAGCAAAGGTCTTTGGCGGCTGTCTACGGGGCAATGCGTTATCTTCAAACTACGAGACGATAAGATATTCATGCAAACCTGTAAGCGTCATTGAGAGCCATGGTAGGGTTGTCCCTTAGCGCTCTTTTCGCTGCTTCAGCTGCCTGTCGTTCTTCTGGTTTGGCGTCTTCACCAACATCATTGTTCAACGGCATCTTCATGGCAATAGCCAAAGAATCACCGGCCGCGCCTTTGAGCTCTCCGCGGAAGACTGAACCGAATGTACCTTTACCAAGGAACCGACCACGAGTGAGGTTACCAGAATGGATAGCCAGATTTGGGGCGATGTCTTCGAACATCTGTTGAGGAAATGCGTCAAGTGGTATAAACTAAGAGTATTGATGCACATGCGCATCACAGAAAGAAAAACATTTGTTTGCGCATGCGTGAATCTTAAAATGCTTGGATTCGCTCTGTTAAAGATTATTACCCACCACGTCGGGAGCAATCTCTCGTAGATTCATTAAACCATGGTCAGGACATTTGATAGGTTCAGCATTGTACGCACTCAGGACACACTCCTCGAACTCGAAGGCATAGATAACGGTGTCAGACTCGGTCGGGCGTCGCCTGAATGAACCATATCGACCACTACGGTTAAAACTACTGGTGCTTTCGGTACTACCTGCAGATAAAAGAAAGATATGAAATATTAACAGTCGCCTTGCCTGCCACTTCTTGCAAACTTGCATTTGAAAGAAATTATAGATAGATGGGTGGGTGGGTGGATGGATGGATGGATGGATGGATGGATGGATGACGGGATGGCAGGATAGTAATTCAACAAAAAAGACACGACAAATCATGTCCCGTCATGTCCTACCTCTGCTTCTCTGCGAGTCTGTCTGTGACCCAAACTGATGATCACTGCTGCTGTGGCTGGCTTTACTGTCATGACTGTTGAACTCCTCGCTACCACGTGACCTATCACTACCGCTACTGCCGATCATCGGTCTCTTGTTTTTTCCTTTTCGCCCTGAACCAAACCAGTGTAACATTCAAATAAGATCTATCTAGTAGGGCTTACATAAACATAATAATACCAGAAGCGACTGTCTGCGCTTGCGCAGAATGTTTGCGCATGCGCAAAATAATTTGCCGTTCCCCCTCCCCCAAGGGGGTAAAGTTGTTTTTAACCCCTACCTTTTTGAGTATTCGGTTCACCGCTGCAGTCAGTATCGGGTTCATCGGCACTCCCGGAAGTTTGGTCACTGGTATCCTCAAAATAGCTCGAACTGTCATTAGTGCCCAGTCCACTACTTACAGACTTGAAGGTGAATCTGTCCGGTGGTGATCCATCGGGGACTTGAATGAAGGGCGGGGAAAGGGGTGTCTCGCCGAATGGGTCGGGGGTTAATTCCCCGGTGGTACTCCCTTGGCTCTGAAGACTGGATCCTAAATAATGAGAATAATGAATAAATTAATATTACAGTCGAGCTACGCCTTTGCCGCATTGTTTCCCAACCATGGGAATGAATAGACCTCCTCGGCTCTGGAGCGCTCGAGTGTAATGTTGTCCCATTTCAGACCACGTATCATTCCCTTGATAATAACATTCTTTGTTTGAGTCGTATCCATATTCATGTGTTTTCTCATGTGCAACCGAGCGCAAACCTTAAACAAAGAAATGATACTCAAGGGGATGACACGTGGTCTGAAATGGGACAACATTACTTCAGAGCCGAGGAGATCTATTTATGACTAAAGATGGGGAACTTCTTGATCTCATCCGCAACGATCCTGCTCACAATATTATGCAAATTGAAAGCCATACACTACATGCTACGACACTTTCACTCAATGCTGTGTACTTCATGCCGGGGGTCGCGCGTTCGAATCTGGACTGAACCACATATGGGAGTTAATTTTGTTTGATTTGTTGTTCTCTCCCTTGACACGAAGGTTTTTCTTCGGGTTCTCTGTTTTCCTCCCTCCATAAAAATCAACACGCGACTTGAGTGTTATCTGTCGTAAACAATGAATATATTGGTAGCTGTGTGTGGAAGGAACCTCATGAAAAAGGCCTTTACAAGGCGTGATGGTTAGAAAATATTTCAATCACCATTTCCATACATTGGTTCACTGGTCAAACACAAAGCATTCAGTCCAGGTTGCAAGGTTCAAATTTGAATAATCCTTTGAAAGTACCTAGTGTTTCGACCAGTGAACCAATATATGGAAAATGGTGAATTATCCGCCTCGATATTAACCAGTCGGCTTTCTTTGAACGTTAGATGGGTGTGATACTTACTTTTGTCTGGTGATGTAGCGCCGATCCTAGGATCTCTTTTAATAGCAGCATGTACAGGACTAGGCCAGGGGGAGGCACTAGCACTACTACCATCAGTAGTCAAGTGAGCTCCACTGTCATTCTGTTGGGTATACGGTACACCCCCCGGGCAGTCACCCTCCGGATCATCCTCAACACCCGATACCTCTTTAATGCATTTCGGGCAGGGTGTAATCCTAGAGACCAGGCGATATCCATGGACGGTTAGAGCATCGAGGCCTGGGAACCAGTCAGTTATGAGAGTATCGAAGTGTTCGACTACTATGGCGAGAAGACGAGCAGCGAGCTGAACACCGAAGTCTGTCACAGACTTGACGCGAAAACCAATCACTTGGCGAGATTCAGGAGGGTTGTCGTCATCTGTATTATGATTGGTCAAAATAGACGTTAGATTAGATAGACGGAATTTGATTGGTCCAGAAATGAAACACAATTATTGAAAGAAAGATGAGTGAAAATGATTGGACGAAAGATGAGAGACAATGATTGGACAAACATGAGAGATAATGATTGCTTAAAAATCAAAAGAGATCTCGATTGTGGAAAACTTAAGAGAATTTTAAACGGTTAAAGGATGACAAATTGTGATTGGCCAAAATATGAATTGCTCAATGATAAGAGAATCTGATTGGTAAAAAGATTGATTAGCCAATTTGATTGGCCAAAACAATTATCGGACAAAAAGACAAGACAAAATCGGCCAATTAATACAAGATTGTGATTGGTCAAATAGGTTAATAATCCTAATCCGTTACCATCATCACCACGTCTGTTCATCGGGTGCTTGCCACTTCTTCTTCTGGATATTCTTTTCTTCTGCACGAATTTCTCCATCAGAATGTTGACACAAGGAGCAATGATGGCGATGGTAGAGTAGGAGGTTGGGTCGTGCGGCTCGTTACGGTAGTGAAGAGGGTAAAATGCTCCCTCTGTTGAAGGGCAAAGACAAATGTGAGTTGGTAGAAAATTCAGATTTTAATTCTATGTAATATTTATGACTATAAAAATAGAAAAGTTTGGAACTTTATTTGAAAAAGAAACTTCCTGTGGTTTTGGTGGGGACTTTCCCGCCAAAACGCACTTGTTCAATACTGACCTGGTGCACCATAGAAAGGATATCCCTCCAAGTCACAGATCCTCAACATCTTTACACCAAAGCAAGACAACTCGACACCAGTTTTCCAGCACGACCAATCTGGCTGGGCCACCGATGCAAGCTTCTCTTTATCAGTTTCGACTGCTTCTCCTTCCATAACCAGCTGACAACAGCTCCGCACTACGTCACGCACCTCTTCATCAGCTATTATCCTAAATATTGAATATGAAAAAACGTTTGAGGTGGGTTTTCTGTGTAATATCAGTTGCGAACGGACTGGGAAACTGAATATGAAATGCTTTTCTTGTGGTGGTAAAAATGCTAGTACACCTTTGGGGAAAAACGAGGGAGGAATGACATGAGAGTGATTTGCATGAATGTTTTTGGCATGGCGGGCTTCCTGTGTTGACACGAATGAAAAGGGCTGGGAAAGAAGAAGCCTGATCAAATAGCAGTTAAACGAAAACCAACCATAAAAATTTCCTTCCTGCTACGACAATATATCTCAATCAAAATGATAATAAAGAACAGGAAGCCATGTCCGTCAAGTGATCACATTCTAGTTTACCTGGTAATCAGTCTTGGCCAAAATCCACTAGGAACATAAGACATGACGTACTGTCGTCTCAATACACGTGTCTTGGTGTACGCAGCCATGTTCATAGCACGTGACACTATCGGGCTAACCTCGGGTGATATTGGTTGGTTACTTATTTGCTGCCTGTCGGGGAGTAGGGATGGGACTAAAAGGTACTCAGCGCTCCATGGCAGGGCGACTTCGAATTTGCTCAAGAGATTGATGTACTGTTTTATTAAATTGGCGGGGAAGTTCTCGCTTCGGAAGATGTGAGAAAGATCTGACAACTTCATGACGCCTGCAGAAAAAGACAACAACAAACAAAAACAGAGATTATTAGACTACGTGCATTTCTTTAACTATCCTCTCCCTCCCCTCCCCCCTAGGAAGAAACGGGGGAAAGATACTGTAAATTTTACAAGAACAAAGTTGCGCTTTCTAACAGCATTCCTACCATTGTTGATATGAGGATTGACCTCCCTTATCGTGACTACATGAGCCAACATGTCACACAACCACTGTGGATCCAAGAAGTACAAGTCACGCAACAATGGATCGTCGTAATGTAAAAGCACACCTGTCAAAGGGAAGGATAGATAAATCTAATTAAATATTTAACATTTTATAACTCTAGAGAATATTATATTGTGTAACACATACCATTGTCATGCAAGAACTTGGTGGCTTGCTCTAGTTCTTCTAAGTCACGCAGGTGTCTGCCTTGTTTGCCTAATTCCTTCTGGACAGCGTTACTATGACAACAAACCACAGTTATTATGCAACGCAAAAAATATCCCGATTTGAGAATAGACTTTTTTGGGGCGTAATCGGTTTTCCCATTTCAGACCACGTGTCATTCTCTTGAGATTAGGATTGTTTGTTTTAGTTGTATCCATATTCATGTGTCTTCTCATGCAAAACCTTTTAAACAAAGAAATGATACTCTAGGGAATGACAGGTGGTCTGAAATGAAAGAACATTACGCCCAAGCTAAACTAAAGAGATCTATTACAGTCCATTTTACCGGGGATTTTGTTCAGATCGTATTTAGAATGTTTCTTCTTGGCGTTCTTTTGAAAAAAAGTTAAGAAATTTGCTTAGTCTTTGAATTTATTGTTGATATTTTTACTTGAATTTTGTTTACTTTTTTTTTTATACCGACGCCAAACGATTAGACACAAACAAATTTTCAATAGGTATGATACCGCACCTACTCAAATCGAAAACAAAAGTAATTTGTAAAAACCTCAGTATATCGGAACCCCCGCTAAACCGGAAATTTTTATCGGTCCCAGCACTGTCCGGTATAGGGGGGTTTCACTGTAACAAGGTATCTTACCGGAAGTTCTCTGATCTCATGACAGGCGTCTGGTCGTCTTGGTAACAGCAATCTCTTATCTTCCCCACAACCTCTTCGACATATATGTAACTAGCAGGTATCGGAGTCTCTAGTAATGGAGTGCGACTACCTACGAACAGGGAAATTATATCATAGTTAGCATAAAGACGGGTGCTTTCAATTTTCCCGGAAAAACCGCAAATTTCAGTTGGAAAACAAATGGTATGTATCATTTCGATCGGAAAGTTCCAGATAACTGGGTCTTCCGATTGAGGTAATCCACTTTTCCCGCTCTTTTTGGTTCTTCCGGTAGACGCGTGTACCATCTGTCGGAAGTCAGTTTCCCGCTCTTTTCTTACCATCAGCAAATGAATGTCCTCCCGGATGAATTGGTTTAAATGGTATATCCCCTAACAAAAAAATACTTATCGCTTTCTCCTCTCATGTCCTCCTTCCCTAAGTAAAACTTTGACATCTTTCCACTTCTATTGTTATCCCCTGTCCTCTCTCCCTAAGTAGAATCTTCCCAATTCTGTATTATACCTCCTGTCTTCCCTCCCTAAGTACAATGGTACCCTCTTCCATCTTCCCCTGTCCTCTTTCCTTAAGTAGAATCTTCCCATTTCTATATTTCATCCCCTGTCCTCCCTCCCTAGGTAGACCTTTGTGACCTCACCTCTCTCTTTGATTTCCAGCGCCTTGTTATAGATCATATGCCGTAGTTCCCTCACATGGTATCCAGTTTTTGAGCTCACTTCTATTGTATTCATAACCTTGGGTAGGCCTCGATCCCTGGGGTTTTGAACGCCTCCGCCAAACTCCCTTGCGATGTAACGATCACGGATCATCTGTTGTAAGGTTGGTAAGAGATTTGAACGTCTTTCTTCTGGTGTCAGCATGTCGTGATGGGTGCCGACGATGATACAAGGAGAATCAGGTGCTCTAGCCTGCGTTAGACGGCATTAGACAATATCAAATGAATATGTTGGCAAATAATCTAAATCCTCGCTAGTTTGTTGTACCTTTAAGCGGCAAACATGATGACTGGCAGCGCATTCAAGCGCTTCATGATCAGGATGAAGTTAAATAAAGGTTAAACTAAGGTATTCATTCTCATGGGAACAAACATGACGCCGAGTGCTCAAGGTCCATTATGGAGCAACTCTGATTGGCTGATCACTGATGTCGTGCGCAATGATTGGTTAAAAATTTACCGTTAAATCCGTACCGTGAACATGCCATGGCCGTGCTGTGTTGGCACATTCTGATTGGCTAAGAAGTGATGTCGTGCGTTGTTATTGGTTCAAATAATCTTTTCAATGCATTACCATAACCGTGCCGTGTTGTCTCTTTATCAAAACAGATATACGCTATATTCTAACAGTAGGATCAATTTACCTGTATGTTCAGTAACCAAGGCTCTATCTCGTTCACACCTTTTTCTCCCTCAGTCAACTTCCACATGACAATATAAAGAGATCGATGAGAGAGGAAGCACTGATGAGTCGCGTAGTATTCTCGCTACAACAACAACAACAGAATAACGTCAATGATATAGATCAACATATACCTTCACCATCTAATAGACCTAATCCACTGTTTTCCCATTTCAGATAATGCTCTTTTACTCCGACGAAGTACAAGCGTCCGAAACGTCAGTAAGTTTTTTCATCTTTTCACGGCGTAGAATATACCCTTTTATCTTTACTGTTTCATTAGAAATACCGACGCAGTTCACACTAGTTTTTAGCTAGTTATCTCTTCATTTCAGATGTGTCATTTCTCTAGAGTATCATTTCTTTGTTTAACGGTTGCGTTACATGAGAAGACACATGGATTTGGATGTTATGGAGAGAATATTTCTAATCAAACCATGTGTGAAGCTAAAACTGCTATCCCAGAGTCGACCTTGTTAGAGACGGTAATAAACCTACGCGACTGTATGCGCGTGCCGTGCGGCGCATTCTGATTGGTTTACTAGTGACTGGGAGCGCTGTGATTGGTTGGTTACAAATATCACCACAGGGATACCATAACCCAAGACACTACCCACCTGGCCTCCAAAGTCCCAGGTACTAAACTTGATGCTTTGACGTTGATCTCCTCGAAAAAATTCGTTCTTTTTAGGATACGTCCAGTCTGATACGTCGACACCAACTGTGGAAATATTCTTTTCTTGTTTCTTGGAACGACCTGTAGAACAACCGGTCCATTTGACAAGAGTTAGTTAAGAAGGACCTCTTGAAAACGGACAACTCGTTTATAAGGCTATAATCTCCATAACCTTGTCTATAATAGGATCGCCTATTGGATACGACCACTTCAGTAATATTAAATCCTCTCTAATACGACCACTCTTTGATAGGGTGACCTCTCTAATACGGACACCCTTTGATAGGGTGACCTCTCTAATACGGACACTCTTTGATAGAGTGAACTCTCTCTAATACGGACACTCTTCGATAGTGTGACCTCTCTAATACGGACACTCTTTGATAGGGTGACCTCTCTGACACGGACACTCTTTGATAGGGTGACCTCTCTAACACGGACACTCTTTGATAGGGTGACCTCTCTAACACGGACAGTTTTTGATAGGGTGACCTCTCTAACACGGACNTTTGATAGGGTGACCTCTCTAACACGGACACTCTTTGATAGGGTGACCTCTCTAATACGGACACTCTTTGATAGGGTGACCTCTCTAATACGGACACTCTTTGATAGGGTGACCTCTTCAATACGGACATCTACATCCAAATAGACCTTTTGAATAAACTCACCCAACGAGCTGCCTCGTTTTCTCTTCTTTCTTTCCGTCCATCCCGTTGAAGGAGAACTTTGATAACTTCCCGTTCCTTCCTGTCTTAGTTGGTTCAGTAGGGTCGTCTTGCCAATATTCGATACTCCTACGAACATTAGCTTCATGCAGGGGTACGGTCTGGACCTGGAGTAATATACAAGAATGATGTTAAAAATAGGTGCGGTAATGAAGGCAACAGCATAGCGCAATTTGTCAATGTCGTACATATTACCCATTCTCGCGCGCAACAAAGAAATTCTCATTGTTGCGCAAAGTTGGAGCAAAAAATATATATACTTATACAAAATGTTAATGCGTAATGTTTTCCCATTTTAGACCACGTGTCATTCCCTTGAGTAACATTTCTTTGTTTAACAGTTGCGCATGGGAATACACATGAATATGGATACAGCTCAAACTAAGAGTCTTATTGTCAAGAGAAAGACATGTTGTCTGCAACGGGAAAACATCACGCAACATGTGAAAATGTTTATTGTTTGAGCACGAAGTAGTAAAATGCGTGACACTACTCTGGAACTAATGCAATGTTGCGTGACAAGATGCACGACATTGTTGCCCATGACACTGTACCCCAAGGATGCAACTAGTGCAGCTAGTCTTTTGGTCAGCGGATGATCATTACAACGCATGTTCTACATACCTTTCCAGCACCGATCTCAGATAACTAACAAGATCTTTAGTCTTCTTTCGTTCCAATACACTAGCTTCAATATCCTGTAGTGTTAGACCCAGGTACTGTAGATCCCATAAATCAGACAAGAGCCCAATCTCCGGTGGCAGCTTTGAAACCTCGGTATTCGAAATATGCAGGGATCCCAACTTGCTCAAAAGGCCTATAGTCTTGGGCAACGTTACCAAGGGATTCCCGCTTAGATTCAACGACTGTAGACTGGGATAGATAACTGTACTAGCATTAGCTGTACTAGCAAACCACGCTGCATACTTAGACCCAGTCTGGCTCCTGGTAGGAGTGTTGGACGTTACATTAGCTTCCATCTTTGAAAATGTCATTTCTTTAATGCTATTATTGTTAACATCCAGACGCTTCAGATTTGGTAGAGTGCGGTGTCTTTGATGCCGACAAGCGCGGCCTTTAAGTGAACTTTTACTTGCGCTCCTCGGTCTTGTACTCATTCCTAGCCCACCCCTCTGCCTCTCGACTACTGCGTAACACCGTTTAACTGGCAACTCCGTAGAGAGAGGAGACATTTCTTCCAGACGATTGTTCGACAAGTCTAATGACGCCAAAGACGTTGGAAAATAAGCCAATGTTTTGACCTCAAATATATAATTATTAGATAAATTCAAAGTCTGTAGATTCGTTGCCAGGCAAGGCAGGCCCAAGGGGATTATTTTGAATTGGTTGTGTGATAAATCAAGTTTAAGTAACGCATGTCCTCGTGTTTGTTCAATCTCGTCTTCGTCTTCGTCGGAGTCCTCAAGCTCTTCTACTCCATTCTTACCCCATAGTTTACTATGGCAGAAGATCTTTAGGTGTTGTGGTTTGGCTGGTTGTGGTACATGATCGTCCTTAGGTTTCGATCCGTCTGCGCTTATTTTTTTCGTCTCTGATGGTTTCTCTTCACTGGGTCCACCTTCTTGCTCAGGGATTAACCTATAGTATACATCATATAATGTACGAGAAATAAGACGTAGGTACCTTAGCTAGACCAAAATTCACCATGCCTGCTATCAAACTACAAGCAAAGTGCATTCTGGTCTAGCTTGGGTAAAACAATACTATACAAGGCATGATAAACAAGAAATAAATACCCATGATAGACTAGAATGCAACATGTTTGGCTTTTAGTTTGACTATCACACTACAAGCCAATAAGAAGCATTCTGGTGTAGCTTGGGAACAATCGTCACAATATAAAGTATGATGAAAAAAGGTATTCGTACCCAAACTAAACCAGAATACGCATTGAGATTAGAAAAACAGGATGCATGCAGGAAGATATTGTAAACGAAAGGTGGTTGCACCCAATCTAGACCAAAATGCACCAAGTTTACTATCACACAACATTCCAAACCATGCAGATGCATTCTGGTGTAGCTTGGGTATAAACAATACCAAACATGGCAAGACAAAAACACTTATAGACATCACTTCCAAACATAACTTTACTTACTGTTTACTTAAATCGTCTCTACTCTTCGACACATGCCGAGGTCTTGGTAAAGTTGAGGTCTTTAGTCCTGCTTTCTGTGCCTTTTTCTTTGTTTCGTCACTCAAAGGCAATGTCTTTAAATAATTTCCCTTTAGATCCAAAGTCTTGAGCATCGGCGAGAACCAYATGGCGAAGGGCAAACTGTCTATATCATTATACGACGCATTCAAGAACCGTAAAGTTGGTAATTCAAATATACAGGTCGGTAGAGAAGGAAGAGAGTTGTGGTGCATCTCAATCTCTTCTAAATGAGGGCAATTCCAACTGGACTCAGCGTAATTAAAGTCACTATCTTCTATTTCTTCAGTCACACGATCCGTTATATTATCACAAGAATGGAACTTAATAGGATTTCCCGAAGTATTCCCGAGCTGCGTCCGAACTCTACCATTGTGGAGCGTCGGTAGAGAATTCAGTGAATTTTCAGAAATATTTAACACTTTTAAAGACGGTAATTGAAAGATTATTAGAGGTAGTTTATTAAGGGCGTTGCCTGAGATATCGAGTCTTGTAATTGTTTTTAATACTGGGTGCAACCCCACGTTTCCCGAAGCCACTTGCGGGTTGATTTGCTTAGCAGCGTCAACGATCCATTGTGGGTGTATTTGGTTGAGTTTCATTCCATTCCACACGATGCAGATAGGATTCGAATTTAGTCTCCAGACTTCTTCGGCGTGACTACCACGGGAGGGGTGGGGTAGTTTGTGCTCATTATCAACATTGACACCTGTAAGTCAAATGCAAAGCATTTCGTAAATGATTGTAAAATATTAATGCACACGACACGCTTACAAGGTACGTGCAAGTTTAAAAAATAAAAAATGAAATGAAGGGCTTAAGACAACCCGTGTTGTTGCCTGATAATTTTAATTCTCTACTTTCACATCCCAATAATACTTTGTGTCTTTGGGGGGTAACCAGAGGGTAAAAACCCACTTATTTTGCTGAAGGCTGGTCAGACAATATTGACAATACCTTGTTTAGTATCCAAAAATAAAATGAAGAAGTAAAAAACAGAAAAAGATAGAAGCTTGAAGGCGTTTAAGGTAAATTTTAAACATTTTTTTGTAAGTCAATACATTTTGGGACAGTTTTTTGATTGGTTACCCCCCAAAGACGCAACTCATTATGGGGATGTGAAAGTAGAGAATATAACTAAAGAAAACCATTCTTTACCTTTACTAAGTAGGATGTGTACCAGAGAGTGATGAAGTGCCTTTGAAGCTTTCTCCACGCATGTGTTCCCAATATCTACTGCGCCTGCTTCGACTAGGATTCTAACCACCTCAAGGTCACCCTGAGCACACGCGATACCAAGCGGTGTCTTTTCCTCATCGCGCACATCTTCAGCCAGTTTTTGCACAACGCGTGATATCTCATTCTTAGGTTCTTGAGTGTACGATATCTAGACAGAAAATATAATAAGAAACCTTGGTTACGTATAAATCATCACTTTGGAGTGTGTGAAACGCCAATTTGGGTAGAAAGTACTCGCAGTTCCATATAAACAGAAATTACTACCGATGAATATGAAGGCAAAATGAAAAAAGAAAAAAAGAATTTTAAAAAATCTGTCTACGGTAAGATTTGAACTCACGTCCGCCAGAAATCAAAAATAAACTCGATTCTAATTTGCCATACCCCCGAGACATCCGCAGAGCTGAGGCGGCGTATGGACTTCGGACCTGACGGCGATTAAATCCTTCTGCCCTTGGGTGTACGAATTACGCAAGAAAATGTTCTAGCCGAAGCATCAGGGGAGAGACCAGCCGGCCCCCAGACCATATCGGCTAATCCCTTGCATCTCTGCCACGCACGGAATCGGTTGATAATTTGATGTTAAAAGTCTAGTCTATTCAGTGCATTGTTTTCATGGCTATTGTAATGCTGATTCATCTGGAACCGTGGTCCAGTTGGAAAACCTTGGTCTTCATTAATAGTGAGTCAAGCCCGGTTAAGGGAGGTTAGTACCTGGATGGGTGACCTCAAACGTATGCCTACTAAAGCTTTGTTTTATATCTTTTTTATTTTCGTCTTTTTTTTTTGGTTTTAAAAATAATTGAATAAACATACAGATTTGAATTTTTTGGTTACAATTCATAATCAAACCCATTCATATCAGAAAACAGCGATATAACGTTTCTGAGGGGGAGGGTGTAAGTTTATATACGTCTGCCTCACCCTCTCCCTACCCATTCCACCCCTAGTAACCGTCACTTACTTGATCAGGATTATAAGATAGGTTGACATCAGCCCCTGCCTCTAGCAGGATCTTCACGATGTCTCTCTGTCCCACGGTAATGGAGTCGTGGAGTGGAGTACGTCCCATGATGCTTTGAGCGTTGATTTCGATTCCGACGTTTGCAGAGCATGGAGGAATGCTGGAGAAATATTTTTGAATGCATAAATATTATTACTAGTGTAAAATAACCACAGCATTTCTATTGGTCAAAAAATGGAATACAATTATCAATATTAGTGGTTATGTAGTGTGTGCTTCTAACTGCAAATGACACGTTATTCCCTAGAGTATCATTTCTTTGTTTAATGACTGCACATGAGAAGACACATGAATATGGATACAACTAAAGCAAAGAATATTATTCTCAAGAGAATGACACATGATCTGTATTAGGACAACATTACGCCCAAGGTAAAGAAGTCTGTATCTTGACCCTATCCCCTATGGTTTACATATAAATCAGTAGAAGTTCTTCACCCACCAGCAATGTTTCCCCTCGAGCAGCAACTTGGCCACCTCAGCATGGCCGCCTGATGCAGCAAGATGAAGGGGTGTCATACCACTTGAGGTACGAGCATTGATGTCGATGCCATTACACAGCATAGGACTAGTCCCCTCCCTGTAGTAAGAAAAGGATTAGTTAACAATATTAGTATCTCTGGAATACAAAACAGTGTTGCCCTCCTTTCGTTGCTCTCATGGCTGCACGTGATACTTTTGACATACAGTGATCACTACATCTTGGAATCAAGCTATTGAGTTTGAGTCATGCTTCATAACTGTGCACGGCATGAGCGCAAGTTTCCTATTGAAGAAATAGAGCAAGCACCCCTGACAAAACTCATAGGAGAGAACTTGAAAATACTTCCCTCATGTTTTGCCGGTCCTAGCATGCTTTTTAACTACACACAAAACAGCAAGCAAACAAGCTTTATTTATTCTTTTGTAAAATACAAATTGAAGTAGCTGTTAATTTGGATACAAATGATGAGTAAAAAAGTGTGCGCATATGCCGTGCACTCTCATAAACCACACCCCCTACCAAACAGCAATCAAGATTTATTTACAGTTGTCTTTTTATTCTTTATTACTTACTCTGGCGCCTGCATGAGTATTTTGACGATGTCAACACTACCTTCCCCTGCCGCTACATGCAAAGGTGTTGAGTGTTCCATCTTGGTAGGTGTGTTTACATGATGTGGCATGGCATGGGCTAGAAGCTTTGTAACTTTAACATGTTTATTGAAACATGACGCATATAATGGTGTTATTCCTGTGTAGGTGTTAGCAGATCCATCGGCACCATGGTTTAGGAGAAGTTGTACAATTTCTAAATGTCCATTATGTGCAGCCCTATGAAAAAAGCATTTGGGAAAGTAAAATGAATATTAAATGTATGTGCAGGGAGTCAATGCTCAGTCACCCAAGCCATAGGCTCATGACTGAAGCAATTGATGCAAGATGTAACTAGATTTTAAAAGTTAATTTTGAGAGGAAGAAAAACTGACAAGCCCAGAGAAAAACCAGAGAAATTTCTATTCCTCTCTAACAAAATCTTAATTGCATTTCTTTATCACATCAGTGCGTAATCCTTTGAGTTATAAATGCAAGCATGTGCAAAAATAACCAATCACAGTGCGTGCTATATTGTGACAGTACCGACTTACTTGTAAAGTAATGTACTGCCTCCATGGAACAGTCGGTTGACGTTGATCTGACTAATTTCAGGTATTAATGTAGAAACTTTCTCAAAATCCCCAATAGTACAGGCAAGAAAAAGTTCTGCAAAGATGCAAGAATGATTAGAAAGCATTAGTGTTTGTCATCAAACACTTGGAGTAGCTAATGAGATGAAAGAATTTTAAAAACTCATTGAAACCCAGTACTTAATATCTTACCTTGGCAACACTCTTCTTCCCTGACAGCTTTTTGTATTTCTGAAAAATGAAAGTGGAAGCATTTTTATTCATAGTGCTATTCCTATATTCTCTTCTTCATATCAAGCTTTACTGGTAATCAAAGAAATAATACTCAAGAAAATCAGTTGATGGGTGGGTGGGTGGATGATATTTTTATATACATCTTTGCAAAGCAGCCTGTGAGCACACAGATTTATGCTCTGTAAACCAATATAGCACACTTATCTACCAATGAGAGCAAGCATATAACAATATGTTAATAATAAACAATTCTAAAGACAACTCACCTTCTACATTCTTTAAGTAGTCTGCGCATTCATAGTGGTTTTCACTTATGGCAACCTCTCTTGCTGTCTTGCCAGTCTTGTTCTTCTTTGAAACATCACCTTTGCTGTCAACTAAGAGTTTCAAACACTTCAGGTGGCCATTTCTTGCAGCAAGATGTAAAGGTGTCTAGAAGACATAAGTTATAGTTAGCAGTTTAATGCAACATTTCTTACAAGTTGAGGGATGTACTACAAGATCATGTCTCAAAACTGTTGCCACAATCATTGCAACCTACTTCTCATAGTTATCACAGCAGCTATAAATAAAACAGGACATATGTATTATGGCATCATGCCAGAATCTGTTGCACACTCTCTTTTGTTCAGTTTATTAGCACCAACTGTCTTATGATACTCACTGAGCAGTTGTCTTGTGGACCAGAGACTGCATTGGGATCCCCTGAAGAAAACAGACATATGAAGAGGTTGAATAAACTAGGTAATTATAATGAATTAATGTTCTATCAATTAGAGGTTCTTGACATAATCCTTAAAATAAGAGTTGATATATTTTTTCATTCCCTCCCTGCTATCTACCCTTCCTTATCTTCTATCCTCCCTTCCTTACATCTTCCTTCTCACCTTTCATTCTTCCCTTCCTTACATCTTTCCTTTTTTCTTTCTTTTCTTATTTCCTTCCTTCCTTCCTTCCTCCCTTCCCCCCTTCCCCCCTCCCTTCCTTAACAACCATACACTCCATAACAGAATCCACTACACAGGTCACTACTATCGATCTTTATCTAGTTATTACCTTTCCATGGTCCTAATAACTCCTCCAGACACTGAGCGCTATCATGCAGAGCAGCGGTGTGTACTGGCGTGAGTCCTCTGGGATCCTTGGAGTTAGCGTCGCCCTGAACACCAGACTGAAGTAAAGATTTGAGGAAGTCTCTCTGATCAAAGATGGCTGCCTGGTGCAACAGTTCACCAGGATATGAAAACACTGGTATGGCCATAGATGTCTAAAAAAAGAAATGATGATTGACTAGTTTTTATGAGATCGATTTCAACACACCAGGAGTACAACCCACTAATGGATTTTCTCTGAACCAATCAGAAAGCTTTAAAATTAATTCACCTTTTTGGCGCTAGCTTGGATTGTGTTACGGTCACCAAAAAGTTCGAACATCGTTCTCGGATTTCCATACAAATTCACTGACTTTAAAGAGAAAATTTAGGTAGATTTCTTTAGTTAGCTCTCTTAACACCTGTAAGAAAAGCTTCTATCAAGCTAGAAAAATGATCATTTACTTGTATTTAGAGAACTAACTAAACATTAACCAAGTAAATAGTTCATTTAGAGTCAGTACATTTGTACAGAAATTCAAAAACAATGTTCAAACGTTTTGGTGACAGTAACATAAACTAAAACAATTTATACCCCGTGACAGCTAGCGCTGAAAAGGTGAATTAACCAATTCAAGAGCTTGAATAGTAAACCATTTGAATGCCATGGCAACAAACATTTTTCAAAAACAATAAAGGGTCTTATACAGATATACCTTAAGGTAGTCAATATGTATACCATTGCTGGTGTCACTCAATACCATTTTTGAGTGAGGCAACATTGCGTGACATCAGTGTAACACATTCCTAGGAAATTTACTTAATTTTGAATGTCTTTAAGAAATTATTTATGTTTGTTCTTTTATCTCTCCTTTCTCTTGTCCCTTTGTTTCCTTGGTTACCAAGCCATTCTCCATTAAATTCATCTCATTTCTTGTGTCGCTGGAGGTAAATATATGCTTAATAGGCCAATCACAAATTAATACCATTGAATCCATATCCCCATTTTGGATTTTAATTAAGAGAAATCGAACATGGACTGTCAGATGTTAATTAATAATTTCAGAAAGCACTATACTATTACCAGCATGACTCATACTTAATTCAAGAAATCCAAAGATATTAGTCTAAAAACTGCTCCAATCAAGGGATATTTCTGAAGATGGAAGTGATCGCATTTTTTTAATTCATTGGTTGGATACCTAATCCCCTTGACAGGCCCACAGCGATTATCCAATTATTTATAAATACATTCGTTAATGTAAACAATATTTGATGCATAATTTTTGGAGCTCAATTCTCTGTTTACACTGCTGAGATAGGGACAATACAGCGATCGCGTGCATTCAAATAGCTTTTTTTGCATTGAATAGGGAGTTCCCAGAGAAATTACATTATCTTACAAATTTTATATCGAGATTAAAACATATTTCTTTAATCTATCTACAGTGTACTTGTCATCCCTGGCTAAGCACCACGCTCTTACCCCATTAAATATTTAACATAAAAAAGAAAATCACACCATACACAAACCATCTTGAGGAATAGTAAAACAGAATGAAAATTTGAGGTTTTCTTCGTATAAATTATCGGATGAAAAATGTATCAGAAAGTTGCGCGCCATTATACATTTTTGCGCAAGGATTCGCTGGAGATCAAATTTTTTCTAGAATGAAGTAGAAATAGGAAATCTCAAATATCGCATTTTTATGTGATGATCAAAGTTCAAGTTAAATATAGGATTTTATTCAAGACTTTTCTTTTTCATTTTTTTCCCCCGAAAAAAAAGTAAGCTCTATAGCAATTTCTCTACGGATGAAATTAACAAGACATTTAAAGTAAAGTATTGCACGTCAAGTCCAAAACAATGCCGAAATTTTCGTTTCAACTAATAAAAGCCCCTATATTTCAAAGATTTGCCATGGTGTCAAGCAATGATTGTTGTTAAAAATTTAGTTCCACTTCAATGAGAATCTTCAATGGATGGCAATAATACCGATCAACAAGCATAAGATGAGAGTCTGAACGATATCCATATTTATAGAAGCTGTACTGTCAGTCTCATCAAACAAGTTTGAACTCAATTCTTCAAATTTTAACCAGAAAAGTGGCTTTAAAACTATATGGAAGTCTATACTAGAGAAAGAAGGTTTCACGATGGAATAATAACTTGATTTTTTTTTGAAAGCTGTGAGATGTTTGTACTGATAATGATCGCGCGTTTATGCGACATGTGAACATGTTGAAGATCATGGCCTCGCTGTCTTAAAAATATTCCCGAGAATTATCACCACAAGAATAAAGACTCTTATTATCCACAGTATTCAAAGTAATTCAAGTAATATGATCTGAAATACATACCTGGTTTTATCCAAACTGGGAAAAAACACGTCGAATTGGTGTGTGTTTTGATTGAAATGCTCCCATATTCCAACACAATTTTGGTGTTCAAACCTTTGTTTTTTCAATTTTGAAAGCTTCTTGAAGCATTTTCCGTCGACAGAGCGATAATTTGAGTTCTTATCTTGCCTAGGAAATGCAGATTGTATAAGAAAGAGTGAATCACATCACGAAAATTGGTGTTTTTTTCGTGGTCAATGATTGAAGACACCAACGCAGGCCTGTCTTCTGGCACACTCGTTCTAGAACCAGAACAATAACAATACTTACAAGGGAGGACAGAAATGACAAAAAACATTTTATAGGCTATCTACTAAGAACCCAAAAAAACTTACTTATATTCTTCATACCAAAAACGCTTTTAAATGAAAACAGATTACTGAAGGACTAGTAAATATATATTTAACGATAGTGTTCAAAAATGTGTTGTAATTCTTACTACTCTGTACCTCCCTCAAGTGAGTTAGTTGTCATTGGGAGTGTAATACCGGAAATAAATGAAAAGCATAGTACGTTATGGATGAAACAAATAGAGTTGCCAGATCACTTCCATATATTCCATTTTCCAAACCGAGTATCCATTCATTCTCTTGGTTTTCCTGGTTTACTATTAGAAAGCTCACCATCATGTATTATATCTTCCTATACATTAGTATACTTTACTATGATAATTTTTCCCATGGTTATTCCGCATTCAATCATATTTATCACCACTCATTTTATACATTTCATTATAGTATTAGTATTACAAGTCAACAAGGAAAAAAGAAAACAGCTTTCGTGAAAATAAAAAAGGTTTGACCATCCACAAAAATTCAACCTCATTCTCAGAGCCCCCCACCCCAAACTTTCCCCCCCAAAAAACGTATCTTCCCTAACCACAGCGTTAAAAATACTGCCGTTTCTCTGACAAGATGTATAGGCTCAAAATTGAGAAAATAATTACCGCCAATTCGTACCGGAAGTCGAGCGCTGTAATAGCCGGAAGTCAAGCCGCTATGTATTTGTAATGTATTCAGAGTGATCATATAATCAAAGAGTCAAGATGGACGATGAAAAGAGAAATAAAGAATTCAATACCTGGCTTGAAAAAGAATTAGTCGCCTATCACAGGAAGGAATCTTATGTTTTGAACACTCTGGACAGCTCATATGGACTTGATTATGTCGCTAAACGAGCGAGAAAAAAACGAGAACACGAAGAGCTCCATGGCGGGAAAAATCTCATGCCGGACGCTAACTCACAAAACGAGGCCAAAAAACACTGTAAAAATCTCTTAGCCTGCAGCATAACAAGGATACCCACAGCAAGATGTAATGGGGAAGATTAATTCACAAAACTTAACGAACATTGGCCGTTTTTTATCGACATTTCTTGAATTTCAAAGTTTGTTTACAAGCAGTTTGAAATGGACAAGTTCTGGTCAAAGCGATTTTAAACAAAGAAGTTAACTTTTCCTCCGATCCGAAAACCTACATTTATACTTTATAGCCTTTAAAGCTATTTAAAGTGTCCTCTATTACTAGTAAATACTCTGGATAGTGTTTTATTAGCGTTTAAGCAGTTTCCAGAGAAAAATTTCCATTGTTTTTGAATGGTTTGATGTACATTACAGGCATACGTGCTTCAAGACACGATTTTTTTATCCCTGCACGAAATTTTTCCATCGATTCTCCAGACGCGTTTTTCAAAGATTTTTAGGTTAGAAGATAATGATTTAAATTTGAAAATTAAGAAATATATCAAAGTATGGAAAATATATATTGATTTTTTGTTTTTCTTAGAGTTATATGATACCAAAGTTTCATTATGCTATAAATAGCTGGACTATAAATATTTAGAAATCAAGTAGATTGGGTGTTCTACTTCACTGCACCACTGGTTCATAAAGGTATCGACTTGCATGTTACATGGCGATTGTATATCTGAACTTGAACTGTATCAGAGAAAGATAAAATACTATAGCAATCGTTTCAGAACAGCATCATCAAGCTATTTGTTTTACCTTATTCCATTCTATTCTCTTTCCTTCGCTTCCTATTGATAGTTTTCACAGCCACCATGTTGGATGAATTTAACAAAAGATTCCTCATTAGCTAGTCTCTATTGTTATATCATCCAAGAAGGCAGCATGTCTTGTTATTTCATTCTCTTGGTAATGATTGCAAGCCAGCTATTCTCAGTTTCTACTATGTTGCAGTTAGACTCAGCACATGATTTGTCCGTGATTCAATGAAACCGCAAAATGTAGGCATAGCTGAGCAGACCATAAGAGCAATAGCTCTATACTGATATAGGAAATTGACCACAAGAATAGCTTAGCCAATCAGAATGCATCATTTGCAATACTAGTCTCGGTCTGTTTATACTAGCGTATTCAATATTCTGTTCTGATCTATTCTATTCCTATATTCTATGTATTAGGTTTTCCACACATTCAACTGAGTGATCATGTATAATTCCTGAAGGCCTTTTGACCCTTAAAGATAGTAAAGAAGTCAAAACAAATAAAGCAAGGTTTCTAATGTCTGTTGAGTGGTGGTTTATTATCAGACTTGTCTGACATCACACATAGTTATGATATTTACAAGTGCCTTACATCAAATAGGTTACAGTGCAGCCACTATAACTGGGGCCACTTAGACAGCGATATCTCTTTATTCCATGAGAAAATGATCACGTTTACGCAGAACACCAGGGTCAAATCACAATACTCGTGCGGTCAAGGTTTATGATTGGCTCTACTACCCAAAGTTGGAATGTGTTGTTTTCATTCTACATTTTAATTGGTTCTCTTATCTAACTGTCAAGTGGCTCTGGTTGAAGTAGTTGCAGTATAAAATGCTACAGGTAGTCAGATATGAACTCTGCAAGTTTAATATCATTACACGGCAGTTCCTCTTTCCAAGTTCTGTTTGATTTCAGCAGTGAATGGATCATAATAACGAGCAAGTTTCTTGTTGAAGTTCATATTACGCTCATTAATGTAGTCAATGTCTGCATCATCATAGTGAGCTCTTCTTCGACTAAACTTGGATCTCTTCTCAATTCTATCGCAGGAAAAGAAAAAAGTTTTATTAGAATGTTTGTTATACTGATATGGGATTCAAGATAAGGTAACATTCTTACATAAAAATGTCAATTTGTTTTCATTAAGAGTTAGCATTAAGAGGCTACACATGGCTTGGATAAGTGTAAAAATGTAGTGTTACATAAAAAAATAATGAAAGTGTTTTGTAACTTACTGTTTTTCCAAGTCGTCGACCATTCTATCAATCGCTTCTTCCGGTACTTTTCCCTCTCCACCATAGTTCAGGTTATCCACAGTTGGATAGAGTTCTTCACCTCTGTAAACAGAAATGTCACTCAGTAACTAAAGAAAAAAAGCCTAATTCTAACAACCTCTGGGAAGATCCAAGTCATGGCTAAAACTCATCACTGATGTTTACTGAAATTTAGCATGTGTTTCAAGACAGAGGAAAGCTGGAGAAAGATCTTGCAGTCAACAAAGAGACCCAACAAGTTCGACTCCAAAGGGGTGAAGTGAGTACACTAGTCACCACTAGACAATACTTGATTCCCCATTAAAAAAGGGGATCAAAGAAGAAAGGAAGGATAGAAAAGAGAACAAATGAAATCAAACAATGATCACTTTTTTTGGTGATAATAGTTGATCAATAAAGAACACTATTACTTACACTTCATCTTTCAATTTGCTGTATTTTCCCATGTCAGGTTTCAACTGCTTAACAAGTCTGTTGTATTGTCTTTGTTGTGCCTGGGCATAATCTAAGATATCATGAAAAAACATCAAAATTTAGTAAAAATGCAACAAAAATATAAAGCAAAAATTATTAAAAAACAAAGCCCTCTTTGACAACTTTTTGACAAATTAATATTGAGCTCTTTATTGTTAACCAATTAGACATTGGCATGTCACCTCGATGTTTTGATAGGTGGAGTTTGTACATCGAAAAAATGATATCAAATATTGAAGTGCGAAACATACTTAGTTAGTGGTATGATAATGACTATAGTGGTTACTACTTGGGACTGCATTGGTGTATTGAATACAATGTTCAAGTTAAGGGAAATTGACACGACAGAATTTTTTCCCCTAAATTACTATGACGCTGTTTGGTCCGAAACGTCTGTAAATGGTACTTCATAGATACCATTAATGTGAGTGGGATATAATTATTTGAAAGCAATGCTACTCTTCAAGTTTTACATTCTTTACATAACAGCTGGATTTAAGGCTGGCTATATTTTTGGTCTTGAATTTTGTCTTCAATAATAGACAAATATAGTGTATTTTCTTTATCACTTTAAATACTAACCTGAAAATCCTTGATCAGGATTTCTCTTCCTTCTTTTCCTTTCCATTCTTTCAGCTTCATCAGCCGTCATTTGTAACATCTTTGTCCTGTCATAATCCTCTCCTCTGTCCTCGGCAGCCTAATGTTAATATATTCCTTTTTAATAAAAATTTATACACCTTTTTCTGAGGCCTGTATCCATGGCTTATAGTAACTACAGGCATCTGACGATGTCCAGCAAGAATTGTAATTTGTAACCAGTCATTTTAAACAGTAACATCGAGTATAATCGAGAAAAAGCTAATTTGCCGGTGACTGAACAGCCATTATTTTTAGTCCTGATATCAGACCAAGGGTTATTTTCTTGAGTATTATTCCTTTGTCAGAACGAAGAGGAATGAAGAATACATGTATTTTAATACCTTTCTGGCCTCTTCTTCTTGAAGTTCCCACTCCACTCTCCTCTGTTTAGCTTCAAAATTAGATGGCAGCTTGTTCCTCTTGTCTTCTTCAGCAACTTCTTGATAATTCATTTTTCTTGCTTCATTCTTTAAAAGAAATATAAATTGAAGATGGTTCTATAATAGACTGGTCATATTTCGTAGAGTTTTCATGCGTGTAAACAGAGTGTCGTATGTCGTAATTAGTGACAACAGTACATGATATATAAAAGCAAGCCATTTTTCTATATATAACTCTAAAAACAATACAATAAGAAGAGAAACAAGACGAATACATAGATATCTCGAAAACTGACTAACCCTTCTCAAGTGTAGTTCCTTCAATCGCTTCATTCTTTCAGCTCTTTTGTTGCTAATTGAAGAAGAAGAAGACGATGAAGGCGAGAGAGACGACGATGACGCAGTTGAAGTATTTGCTTCGCCATTATCCTCCACATCATCCAACTCCGCTGAAATCTACGACAATACATCACAATTAAACACATTAAACATCACTAACAAATAATCGGTGATCAGTTCACTTAATCACAGAAAAAAAGCGAAAATTATTTGTGGTTTTGATTTCCGTACTTACTTTGTTAGACGCCATCTTGAATATGAGCCCACAGTTTTCATATACAGCGGTTGAAAAGTGAATCCGCTGGTCTACTGTCACGCGGGCTCATATAGTTGAAATTGACAAAAGAAAACATTGAAGAAGTAAATCAAAGAAATGGCTTGTTCCCGATCATACAAAGACACGGATATCGTAATTGTTAGTGCGGTAAGGACTCCAGTAGGATCACTCAATGGTGACCTTAGTTCGCTACAAGGACATGAATTAGGGACGCTAGTGATAAAGGAAGTGTTATCACGGTCAGGGGTGTCCCCTTGTGACGTGTCAGAGGTGATATTGGGGCAGGTTTATACTGCAGGTTAGTTGTCGTCATTCTAGTATGGCATGTACTTTGTGCTTCCTCGACATTTGGCAGTTTTAGCAATTCCTTAACTTTTTTTTGAGTTTGGTATATTAGCTTTTAATACCCTTTATTAACGGAGCACTGATTGAAGGGTGAGGTGGAGGGGGGGAGGGGGACATCTTGCTTGTTCCTTTACATTATTCATCTTTATCGCAGACTCTTTTCCCGGTTGTTTTATGTTGTGGTATCTTTTACCCAAAACTTGATTAGAATCCAAGCAACAAACAATTTGTACATATACGAGGGAGCCATACAGTGGCAGATCCAGAATGATTTCAAGGGTGATGACTGTTACCTAGAAAAGCATCACATAGCATCATTTTTTGGTCTTACCTTGTCCTTTATTCTTATTATTTTTCAACTCCAAAGGGGAGTGGCTAGTCACCCAACCCCCTTGGATCTGCCCTTGCAATAGACCCTTACCATGGGCATAATTTGTCCCATTTTCGATTCAGACCATGTATCATTCCCTTCAGTACCATTTTTTTGTTTTAATTGCTACACATTAAAAGACATATGAATATGGATACAACTCAGTCAAATAATTTTATTCTCAGACACATGTTCTGTAGCCTGCGTGCCTCCGAACGTTTACTCGTAAAGTCACGAAAGAAAATTCCGGATGCAGCGCAGGCTAATGTTCTGAAGTGGGAAAAGATTATGCCCAATCATGGTAAAGGGGACTAAAGTTGCATATATAGCTGACAAAACAGCAACAAAAACTTATATCTCCCACCCTGACATATCTCCCACCCTGACTCAATATCATTGCAATTTTCTTTGTATCTATAGGGGATGGGTGGGGATGAATTTTAACATTCATTTGGCAGTTTAACAAATATGCTTGCCATTCAAGGTCAAGGTCAAGGACCTGCAAGGCAAGCAGCAATGAATGCTGGGATACCTCCAACAGTGCCGGCATATGGTGTAAACATGTTGTGTGGCTCTGGATTAAAAGCTGTTGCCCTTGGTTACCAAGCTATAGCAACAGGAGACTCTTCAGTTGTTGTTGCCGGGGGACAAGAAAGCATGAGTCAGGTACAGTTTCTATGAGCAATATAGAGATACTTCTAAACAAAGATCATGCATTTTGATGTTGTAAAGGAAAAATAATCAAATAAATAATGCAAATAATGCAAACGGCACATGTAAGTATAGTACAAGAAATGGGATTGCATGCATGCTATAATGTTAATGCCCAGTAAATGACTATTCATCATGAGTCTTTCTGGAGCTCAGTGGTAGAGCATCTGACCAGTATCCAGAAGCTCATGGGTTTGATTTCTATCAGAAACTCTGATTTTTCTTCAACGTTCCCCTTTGAGCTAGTTACAAATGATTAATTATTCTATATACTTCTTTCCTAGTTTGTAAATAAAATTTCATCAATGTTACCATATATATTTATTTAATTTTCTTGATATCATTCTTTAGGCACCTCACTGTTGTCATATGAGGTCACCAGTGAAGTTTGGTGATGTAACACTAGTAGATACTATGCTAAAAGACGGCTTGATTGATGCCTTTCATAAATATCACATGGGAATTACAGGTAAAGGTGGAGGAATAGCTGCAGAACAATTCATAATAGTAACCAACAGCTAGAGGGGCTTGAGAAGCCACTTTATAATAATATTTTTCTAAGCTAAAACTGTTCTAATTTCTTTTGAAGCTGAGAATGTTGCCAAGCAATGGGGAATTTCCAGGCATGAACAAGATAAATTTTCATTCACATCACAACAGCGTACAGAGGCAGCTCAGAAGGCTGGCTATTTCAAAGATGAGATTATTTCTGTGCAAGTGAAGTCCAGAAAAGGTAATTCCTAAATTAATTTGAAGATGTTTCTCTTTGAAGTTCAATTAAAATAAAATAAAAGTTAAATAATAATTGTATTTGTAATCTTGTAGCAACAACAGAAGTAACAGAAGACCAGTTTCCCAGGCACGGCACAACATTAGACGGACTTTCACAACTCAAGTCCTGCTTTCTCCAGGATGGCACAGGTACCGTCACGGCAGGCAATGCTTCTGGAATCAACGATGGTGCTGCTGTTGTTATGCTCATGTCTTTTGCCGAGGCATGTCGAAGAAGTGTCAAACCCATTGCACGTATCATCTCATGGGCTCAGGCTGGGGTTGAACCTTCAGTCATGGGAACTGGTCCCATCCCAGCAACTAGAAAAGCAGTGAGTTTAATTTGTTTACTGATACTCAGACAAAAATAGATATTTGGTCAAGCTAATCATTTTGTCTGCATGGGAAAAATCAAAGGTGGTTCACCTACATCTCACTTCTGGGGTTTCAGGTTTACTTCCTGGACTTGGCATCAGATGTGAATAGTCAGTTTGTTGATTGTCTTCCTTGATTCAAGTACTTTTCTCTAGGTTCTCCAGTTAAAATTCTTTCTTCGCATACCGGAACCCAACAAGCTAACTTCCAGATCGATTAAACACCAGACTTTGATCAGCCCAACGGTGGAAAGTTTTCATATTAATTTTCAATAAATAATTCTCCTCATCATATTTATAAATTATTTCAGTTGTCCAAAGCTGGTTGGCAAGTGAAAGATGTCGATTTGTTTGAGTTGAATGAAGCGTTTGCATCTCAGTCTTGTGCTGTGGTGAAGGAACTCAATCTTGATCCTTCCAAGGTACATGTAGAGCAAATTTTATATAAGCGAGTGATAATCTCATAGCTTGGATATGCCATGCCTACGACATTGCTTCGGGGCTAAAAATGACGGCTGCAATGATCAGACATGATGATTGGCCACATCTGCAGCAATTTAGAAACATGTCACTGGTGAAGAGGACCAGTATAACAGCTGGTGTTTGGCTGGAAAAATTATTTTGGCCAGAATATTAATTTGATTTAATTGATTAATCAGTGATGGCACCTTCTGCGATTGGTTAAAAGGATGTCATTAATTCTGTTAATGCACTTATATTTTAATTAATTTTTATTCAACAGGTTAACATCAGTGGTGGAGCGATTGCATTAGGACATCCTATAGGTGCTTCGGGAAGTAGAATTCTAGTGACATTGCTACACAACCTTAAACGAACATCGCAACAAAAGGGTGTGGCAGCACTATGTATCGGAGGAGGGATGGGAATAGCTATGTGCGTAGAGACCCTAAATTGAAAATGGAACTCAAAGAATAGGTTGGGTCAGAATAGTTTAGTATAGGTTATTTTAGTGCTATAGCAATAGGTTTCAGTTTTTTGTTTTACTGGGATTGGATTAGGTGGGTAGCCAGCCAATCCTGAGCTACATACCAGTACTAGCTTTCACAGCAACAGCCACCCTGTCTTCAAATTGTCCTGGATCTGCCATGACTATAGTCTTGTAATGAAAATTGTCAGATTTTTGCTTGCAAAGGCAGCTTGTTAGAGAAAACACTGCACTGTGTTTATATGAGTGACATGCATGTTGTGGAAAACAAGACAAGACAAAAATATATCGGTACCGTCACAATAAAATATAAAAGAAACTAGAGTGCAAATAATGTACCCGTTATATAGTTAGGATGAAATAGGAGATAAATAGCGCTTAATTAGACAAGAAATAGGAATTCAGTGAGGCATGACAAGGGCACAGGCGTTTACTAGAGTGACAACTCAATACGCAAATGAATAAATACGAAAATGCAAACATGTCAAACTATTATACGAAGGAAGAGCATGTACAATAAAATATTGTTTCAGTTTTTGTAAGTGTGTTTAAAGATATTTAAAAATGTGCGCCCTTGAGTAGAAGACATGCACTAGTTTACCCATCACAACTCGCCTATTTCTTTAACAACTTAAGCAAACAATAGCACAAAGTTAGTAATTAGTTAGCTAGCTATATATTTCACAGGTATATTATTTTCACTCTATCTATTTCACGGGTATATTATTTTCACTCTATATGGGAACGGCTGTAAACTGAAATTTTAAAAAACCTCCAGTTGTTGCGTATTTTATAAAAATGGTTTTATTTATTTATCATTTGTATTCAATGTGTCTGGAAAAAAATATGTACACTAATGTAATAAACTGGATCTTTATAAATATGGATATGTTTCTTACTATGTTATTTTATAAACATACACTAACAGTTCCTATATGTGTGCATATCACTAGATTAAGATGATCATCAAACTAAAGCTATAATATACTCTCAATAAGGGTCCTGAATAGCGATTCACAAAACAGGAGATATTTAGCAATTTAATCAATAGCCCAGGAGGCTGGAGGCCAAATGGGCTATTGACTCATAGGCCACAAGGACGAGAGGACTAATTGTTTTAAACAAATCCAACTAGTTGGTCAAATATCTAGATTTAAACAAGTTTTAAATTAAAGTTAATTTAGAGTGCAAACAATATAACCGTGAAACTTTAGTAATACCAAATAGCACAATTTCATGCAAATTCCATTGTTTTCTATTGTTTAATTAGCACTATTTTGTACTATTTAGTAAATTAGTGTTTCACAGATTAAATGTTTGCACTCTAATGGTTTGGTTTTCAAAGCCGACACTTTTTGCTACTAGTAGGACATAACTTATAGCCTATTAGTAGCTCATCCAATCAAACTGCAGCACTGATGACAGACCATTAGTTAGTTGGGTTTGACTAAGATATTCCTTGATTTTAAAGAGTCTTATGTTCCCTAGGATAATATATGAGTCTCCTCAAACTAAGGCCTACGTCTCACTCAATAAATATGCAAGTCTTGTGGTCATTCAAAGTTTCATACTGCAATCTCACCATTCCTTGCTCCTGTAAGTGATGATTACATTGTCTTATTGTGGCTCTTACTATGATAAAACTTGTGCATTGATTCTTGCTGACTAGGGCATTTTTCTTCTCCCAGAGTTTCTAAAAGTTGGTTTCTATAAGCCAAGAGTTCATTATTATACCCACTGTGGTAGAGAATGTCATTATTTTTCTTTGCTTCTCGGTGAAAGTCTGGCGTTTTTAATTCATACCACCTTGGTTTGGGACCCCTTATTCTTTCTAGTTCATTCATACATTTTTTCTTTATCATTCTTTCTTCTTCTAACTTCAGTCTCTCTATTTTTAACCGTGCTAAGTTCTCACGGTATGGAGTAGAAAGTCCACTCAAAGTCCTTGAATATAGCATTTCTTCCTCTGCATTTCTAAATATGGACAAGTCAAATGCATTCACTGGGGTCTTCCTTATGTCTTCGCTAAACTCACTAGTTATATTTCCTTGTGCAGTCGATTTCAGTACTGATGCTTTCAAAGGGTGTGTCTCGGAAAGCTTGTCCAAATTGACAGGAGGGCTTTTTGTGCGATGAATTGGATTCAAAAACCAATCAGAATTTGCACTTTGGTTTAGAAATTTTCCATCATCCTGCAATCTCATGAGCTCTTCACATGGTTGGTCATCAAAATCTGATAAATCTAGAGTCAGATCTCTCGGATCAAACTCTTCTGCGGTGACTTCGTAATCTGGAAATCTCACAGATGGAGCAGACGCTGCTCTTGTTAAGCTTTTGGAGGTGTTTGATGGTCGGATTGTCATGTCTGTATTGGTCCTATACCCTGAATCTTTCAAACTGAGAGAAATAAAGCAAAATATAAATATACATTGGTTTCATCTATAAGCATATGGTCTTACAAAGGAAAGAGCTAAACTTTGGAAAAAAATTCAAACTATAAAAAATTAATACTTTTGAAAAAAATTCTTATGTGTTTAGTTTTCAAGTAGCAAAATATTCTAAAAAAGATGAATAAATAATAGAAGAATAGTAAGTGATTGTTTTGGCACTTTCGGCTTTAAGCCAAACAATGTAAACTTAATTGTTTTAAATTTTTGAACAAAAGTCAACCCCCAATCCCTCAATATCACACAAACACAGTACACCTAAACTAATAGATAATGTTTCTACGTATGTTGGATCAATAATATTGAGATATCTACCTCATTGCTGGTCTTTTTCCACGCAGGATAAAATCTTCATCAGGATTTCGTTTCTTCGTTCCCCTTGAAGGCAATGGTCGCCAGTTATATGGCGAATCGCGGCCATAAGGCTGCTTTTTATACATGCTACTAATATACATACTCTAGATTAGTAATCTAGCTGTCTATGTATTAAATAAAGAAGAGGTTTACAAGGCTTTTATGGTGTTTTTTGAGGTAAAAATATCGTTCAATCTGTCGGTTCTTGCTGTTGTTTTCCTTGGATACCAACGAGGTGCTAGACCCATGTCTCACTCGGTGCCCCTATACTCTGTGCCCCCACCCTCTCCCCCTAAGAATGATCATATGTTTTTATATGCGTATTTATGTTGAGATTTAAATGAATATTGTAAACTAGAGCTAATTGTAAGCTGTTGTTTGCTTTTTTGGTGTTAAAAACCGGTTAAAAAGCGATTTAAGTTGAAAATTAAAAAGACAGAAAGACCACAGGGAACCCAACATCTTATATTCTCATACCCAGAGCCCACGTTCCTCTTGATCAGCAGCGAGACTTTCAGAGAAGAACAAAGGTCTTTTTTTTTTCATTTTTGTTGAAAAAGTGGAGAAGAAAAGGAGCCATATTCTATGGTACGGACCGAGCCAACAAGGATAATGAGTCATTTATTATATGGCAAGGCATTGAGGTACAAAAGAGGCGAAAAAACTGAATTTGTGACAGCATTGGAAGGTCTTCCTGTACGTCCTAACATGAGTCGTGTAAGCTAATGTAAGTTTGAGTTACTGAGTTTAGTTTATTATTATATGACTTTAGCTATAGTTTTTTTCCTTCAAAATACTATTACTGAACTGCTGAAGCTTTCTTAATGCAAAGTTGCCAAAGATGGCATGCATATACCTGAAGTAGGAGTATCCCTTATACCTGAACTAGG